CATGGGGATGCTGCAAGAGTCATAAGTGTCAAAAATAGTTATAAGTCACTTTTTTCAGTGCTGTTGTAACTTCAAACAGTCATTAAATGAACTATAGTAAATCAAGGACCATCTGTACCTATTTTTAACTATCCTTATTTTGAAGCAAGCTTATTAAATCGACACAAACCTGCACAGCATGAATGAGATAATAGCGGTATAAACTGATTTTCAGCTTGTTCACTGTAGGTCGATACATATCCTCCAGTCGACTGAAAAGGCGTCTGTCAAGGTAACTCCAGTACTCTCGAAGAGCAGCTAGATCATAGCTGTGAACAAACTGCAGAAGCTGGTCCACTATCTTGTCCACCTAATTAGAAACCCTCCAAAGTAAGTTATGTAACCAACAACTTCAGTTATCAAGAAAAATCACAGCAATAATTAGGGGGTACAATTATCTGTCACAGGATAAAGGAGAGAAGGAAAAAATCAAAATCATGTATGTTGATCATGATTTACCAAGCAAACACTTGTCTCTTTTATAGAAACAAAGTTCAAATATATATAATTAAAATATACTTGACAGGGTTTAATAGTTCAGACCAGTACAACAATTCATACTAAAGGGGTATAGTAGTACATGTGGGGCTGTCTCTATTACCCAATTTCACATGGGCAAATTTGTTCTAATCCCAATTTCTCTGCTTCCTCTCCAAAAACATTGAGGGTCTGACAGCTTGGCTAAGGAGAAAATTTTATGAAACATATGTGCATCGTTAAATAAATGGTTAATGGAGATTAACATCCCTCTGTTAGCTCCTGGCATTTTTTATTCATATTTAAGATTTTTTGATGATCCATATCCAATGTATTAGCCGACTCAAAAGTCAAGACAATTAAAAGTTGTCCTGAGAAAGTACAATAAAGATTGCTTCTAATTTTTTTTGTTCCAGGATGAAATATAACCATCCAATAGTATAAAGAATGCAATTGAAAAGATATGTCTTAAATTCCAAATGAGGCAAGCCAAGATTTGAGGTAACAAGATGCAATGGGAACTATCTGGAGTCCAGGATATAGCTCTTAAAATGTTTGAAGAACTCCTAGCAATCTGAAATCTTTATAGCAACAGACCTGGGAGTCACACAGCATTTGCTTGATTGTTTTAACTTTGAAAAAATGAATGGCAAGTGGCAGGTAACTGAATGTTAAGTACAGGTAGGGAAGCTTAGAATAGTTTTGGAATATCTTTGGTTACTATCTGGAATAATCCACATTTGCTCCCTTCAAACATTGAAAAGTATCTCTAAATTGTGACATTCTGATTTATTCTCCATCTGCCTTTAACTCTGTTACTGAGAAGACCATAACCTTTGTTTCGATATACAGGTAGTCCTTGACTTATGACCATTCGTTTGGTGACCACTTAAGTTAAAACAGCACTTAAAAACGTGACTTACGAAAAGGTCTTTGTCTTAATAACTGATGCAGCATCTCATGTGCATATGATCAAAATTCAAGCGCTTGGCAACCAGTAAGTATTTACGACATTTGCACAATCCCAGGGTCACATGATCACCATTTGCGACTTTCCCAGCTGGCTTCCAACCATGTCAATGGGTGAAGCCGGAATTGCTTAATGGCCACATGATTAGCTTGACAACCATAGGAAAAAAGGTTGTAAAACTGGGTGCTTTGCTTAGCAACTGGGAATTCTGGTTCTAATTGTTGTTGTAAGTCAAGCACTACCTGTAATTTGTAGCCAATTTTTCTTCTTTATAACCCTCTGTCTCAGGTCAATTTCAGCTATAAAGGGAATGTCAGGTTATTGGCCTGTAAGTAGAGTAATAATATACAACTGTTGTCAGCTAAAACCAATAGAAATAGGAAAGAACAGGTCATTTCAAAAAAGAACTTGAAATAGAACATATAAAAACCAGAGATATATAAACATTTATTATAATATATACAGTAACTTTCCAGACAAGAGTTGCATCTGGCCTTTGACTGTTAGGTCAGGGTGCTTCAAACCAAATATTAGTTGGTAGGATTAGGAGAAAAAATATTTTATTTCATTTACTTTTGCCATTCTAGATTTATGTTTCATAATTTTCCACTTCTCTCATATTTAAAAAAAATACAATTTGGTAACAAGCGTTCTGCATATTGGTGAAGAGCTGGCTGGGACAATAAGGTTAGAATCCAGGATAGGTACGTATAGTTTTGGGTTGGGTGTGTGATTTTTCTAAATTTTATTTTATTTAATTCTTTTCATATTAGTTTTGTTTGTATTTTTAAACATTGTTGTTAACCAACCAGAGTTGTGTGACACAAAGTAGGTAGCAATACATAACTTTTAAACAAAATAATTTTAAAAGATCTATTATGACTGTACCTTGGCTTTAAAAGCATTTATTTCAGAAATTACATGGAGCCCTGAGGCTCCCGATTATGCCTCTGTCTGAAATATTAAATCAATTTAATAGCTATTTAACTTTTTATGAGATATGTCTGGACTTAGTCTTTTTAAATAAATTCTAGTGACAATTATTTTATTTTGATTAATAATCTATTAGGCAGATTCAATAATAGGAAAATATGATATATATAAGCAAAATGTCAACATCTAAATCTAACTAGAAGATGCTAATATCCATGCAGCCTAGGGACTTTTGAAAGGGATGCACTCTACACATGCTCTTCACCTCCCGTTCTCTAGTAAGACCGGTTCTAAAGAAGAGCTGCAAGGGACTGACTGGGTGCCTTCTAACTAACGAATTGGAAGCAAATCCAAAAATAATTTCAACCAGCCCTTGCTGAAAGGCAGGCCCATCCAGCCAGAAACCTCTGTTCCGGTAAGACGCTCAGAATTCCGGGCACAACAATGCTTTCTCTGTTCCTGCTTCTCGCAGTGGCAAATCAGCGTGAAAAAGGAAGACCGGGGAAGGGGCGTTCTGGACTAAATGCCCTCCCCATCACCTAAACCTCCCCAAACCAGCTCAGGCCTTTCCTCCCTGCAATCCTCACCCGGAAGCCTTTCTCCTTGTCTGCCTTGATCTCCGCATCTAGTTGTTTCAGCGTGGCAGTGAAGCCACGGAACAGCAAGTATTCCCGCACCAATTCGTCAACACGCTCCGCCGCAGCCGCCATCGCGCCCCCGGCTCGCCGACAAGACGAAGAGACGGCCGGAGTTCCATGCGCCGCCCTACGTTCGCTCGCTGCCCCAATCCTCCTCCTCGCTCCGCCCCTGGGTTTTCCTTCGCTACCCAACTTTTTATTACAAATGATTGACTTGTATTTACAAATTGTGATTTGTTTTGCTTAGAAAACTGAGTCTGAGCCTTAAAGCATTGATATCCTTAAAAGACGTTCGTTCCTTTGACTGATTTCTAGTTGAAATGTTAATTTATATTGTTAGTCCATGTATGATATGCCATACGCTAAATAATTAAATAAATCCTTTGACTGAGAATTGGCAACGCCGATTAGTAAAGAAAACTCATGATTTTGGCACAACCCTCGGGATTTCAGATTTTAAAGAACCTAGATGTTTCTTAATTAGTTTACTTAGTTATGAATTTTCCTTATCACACATAGTGTATGTAAATAAAAAATCCTTCATGTGAATGGACCCACCAACTTTATTACCTATCCTGTATATTAATGCTGCTAACCCTGTTATATTATTGTTTTAACATGCACGTGCAAGGTCTTTTTAAAGGAATTATCCGGGGGGGGAGGGTGTTATTCTACGCATTTCAATGTTGATAATGGATTAATATTTTCCATTAAAGAAACAAACCTAAATGGATAAAATATAGTAAGAAATAATTCACTTGTTTGCCCTCTCAGTTACTGGGCTATTTATGCCACTGACAGGACAAAAAAAGGATGCAGCAAAAAAGTTGGGGATGGTACTTTCAACCTTCAACTTCTTAGTCTGTCATAAAAAATGTTCTGGTATTGCTACACAAATACATTAAAATCTAAATCAAGTTTTTAACAGAGCAGACTTCAGGATTTATAAGATTATGATTGCAAAAAGCTGCTGTAGTATAGACCATGTTCTCCATCCAGTTAAGGAGGACTTATGAAAGTGGAAAATGAACCACTAGTACAGTTTCAAAAGTGATATTATGCATGTACTGATGAACTTAGGTCAACATTTTAAAAGTTAATTATGCAGTTTCAATCTGCAATATCTATAACAATCAGTCATTAGTTTGTTACTGGTGCCAGCAGGTATTTCTCAAGTCAGCATTGATACTTGGCTAGGGCACAATTTACCCTGCACCTTAAAATGAAATTCTCCTTTAAAAATAGGAACAGCATTCCTACACATTTTATATATGCTTGCTCATTTATTTAATCTTAAATAAGGGCATTATTATAAGTGTTCTTAGAATCTGTGCGCTAAATTCAAATCTTTCTGTACCTCTGTAAACAATGAACTACCATCTCTTGGAGAGGATAGAAGTATGGAGTATTTAGACTATTAGTAATTTGTAGTAAGCAAATTTGTTTAAAAAAAATAAGGCAGAGTAAAAATAAACGCCTCTTTCATCCTGAGAATTGGATGTTTCTATGCACCTGATATTTATGCAAAATAGACTCTCGGCTGCTTTGGTACGACAAGCAAGTAGATTCGGTTTAAACTAAATACGAAGAGCGCAACATCCTTATTTGATGACTCTGTACAGTACACACTGCAAGTACCTCGAAGCAAACACGTTGAAATTTCTAGGAGCTTAAAAGCTTAAACCCCGTATTCTAATATATATCTAATATATAATAAACGATACACAAGTCAGACCTATTTCTTCTCTAGGACTCTAAACTACTCGCTTCGCCTCGTCTTATCTTTCCCGCGTTTTTGTTACCATTTCCGGCATTACCTCGGTCGAATCTCTCGTTTAATATTCGTGTCTTCCTATTGGCAGATAGCGAGTCCTCCTGCAATGTGATTGGTCCTATGTTATACGCCACTAAATGCTATGGTGAGAGTGTGCGCAGATGATAGGTGGATGAGTGGAATGTATGCAAGGTGGAATGAGTGATAGGACTTGGGAGTAACGAATGAGTGAGTCACGTAACCCTGAAAGTGTAGCTTTTATCTCTCGTATTCCATGGTCGAGTCTGTAAAGACGGGAAAGCGTGGAGTGAGGAACTGGGAGCATAAAGTGGGGAAAGAATTGCACTACTAAGGAAGGTTAGTCAGACACGCTGAGGTTAAAAAAAGATGGTGAAAAAAAGGGTGTTTCGACAGAAGGGGATGGGACAAACCCGGAGAATAGCTGGACGCAGATGATGGTAAATAAATAGAGTGGCTGGTTGGCTGTATAGATATTAGAAAAAGTAGTCAGTTTCAATCTCTTATCTTTTGAAGTCAGGAGGGACGGTGTTACTTGTAGTTTGAAAATCTTGGGGAAAGCAAGCTGAGAAAATGACAAATGCTATTTCAATACCAGTGTCATTCACGGAATGTTGCCATGTCAGTTCATTGGTCCTTCCAACTTGTATATACAGTAGCAATAACTCTGGGATTCAAGAGAAGAAATCTTAGTTCTTTTGCATGCAAAGTGTATGGCTGACCAATATATAATCTATTAACACCCCCCCCCCTTTTTTTTTTTAAATGCCCTAAACATATATTTAGTCAGAAGCAAGAAATATTTCTCTTTAAATAAGAAATCAGAGAGACAAAAAACCACTAATGGACCCAGCTGAAACTGCTAGGTGTTTTCTGTTGCTGAATACCAATCAAATAACAATTGGAAGCCCTTTAGCAAAAGAGGAACACTACTGTATTGCACCTTCTCTTATTTCAGTGCTGAAAGTAATATTTTGTTGAATTTAACTAGTAGCCATAAATAGCTTTATTATTATTATGTCCTGTGCTAAGCATTGGGCTACAAGCATACTCCACAATTTTCAGTCTGAATAAATGGCCTTATTCTCCATTAATTTATCTAAATCTTGTTTAAACCATTCATTTGAACTAATGTTGTAGATGTATTCACTGAATATATACAGAAGGATGATTCTTGTAATCTTCCTCACTAGAGTAAATAATTTCTGTTAAAGAATCTATATTCAGAGATAGAGAAGTATAAAGGGACATGTCCAATTCTGAAATACCAACTATGTATTTTTCAAATATCAGTATCTCTCTTTTCATGAGTAATAAAATTTTACATACATTTCAAATTGGCAGAACTAGGAGACATATATAGCGTTCCCACTTTTATTTTATTTTTTAATGAAAGTTTTTTATTTTTTCCATATAAACATTATAAAAAAAAGTATACAATACAATTTTAAGATAAAATAAACATTATTACGACCTGCGCACTCCCCCCAGGCTGCGTCCACCCTCTCTTAAAACATTCCCTACTTCCCTCCTCTTTCTCACCTCCCATCCTACTCTCTTCTCCTCTCACTACCCTACTTCCTCTCTCGTTCCCACTTTTATTGTTATTAAAAATAATCTACATTTATTATTCTAGATAATAAAGCCTTTCTGACATTTTCATATGGACAACCCTGTTCATAGCAGTTGAACAGATAGGCCATATTTACTTAAAAGAATTGCAGGTATAAATTTGTGAGGTTAAATAAAGATAAATTTGAGAAAAGGAAAAAAATTGACCTGAGTTCTAGCTGGTTTTCTTCTAAGAGCTCACTGGTTTCATATTGTAGTAAGGCATCACCAACATTCATCCATATAAATTTATAGCAAAACATAAACTGATTCACGGTATAATTTTAAGCATATAAACTTAAACTTGAATATGTCTCTCTATCTCTCAGTTCCATCAGATTTCTACCTGCGGCATACATAATTGCAATCAAAGGAGTTGGACAGAAATTTCATGTAGGAGTAAAAAAAGTGGGCTTCAAACTGGAACTGCTTGTTTTCATACTTTACTTCTATAACAAACATATTTTATATTATGTCTGGATCAAAAGTATAGCCTGACAGCAGGATTATCATGATTAGAATTAAACCTAGGGCTAGCTGTATTCAGAATCCATTTACTGAGTTATATTATCCAATTAATGTCAACTTGTCTAATTTTTCTAATGAAATTGTTGCTTGCATAAATTCTGATGTGTCATCTTGAGCCTCTTAACAGAAATACTGAATTTAAATAGAATTTACTATGTCATACTATGGATGGAAGTTTATATGGTTAATGTTTCTGCATAAAAAAGTCCCTATACATAACATTAGAAGATTATAATATGCCAGTATTTGTAATATGCTAATAAAGGTAATCCTTGACTTACAACAGATCATTTAATGATTGTTCAAAGTTACAATGTCATTGAAAAAAGTGACTTATGACTGTCTTTCACACTTAGGACCATTGCAGTATTCCCATGATAACTTGATCAAAATTTGGATGCTTGGCAACTGATTTATATTTATGATGGTTGCAGTATCCTGGGATCATGTGATCATCTTTTGTGATCTGATAGAGTCAGTGAGGAAGCCAGATTTACTTAACAGTGTGTTACTAGCTTAACAACTATAGTAATCCACTTAACAACTGTGACAAGGAAGGTCGTAAAATGGGGCAAAATTCATTTGGCAATTGTCTCACTTGGTAACAGAAATTTTGGGCTCAATTGTGGTCGTAAGTCAAGGACTACTTCCATATATAATACAGTATATAATGTAGGTTGGCCCTTTCACATTTGGATGACTTCCTGTGTAGCCACCTACTTTTTATCACTTGAATGAACACAGCCTGAATGAGTTTATTATCTTGTGCAAATTCAGAAAACTGTTAATTGATCGAACCTTGAGTAATGTATCATGTAAATATAATCTCAAGGTATCCACTGCAGGCTAAATTTATTTATTCATTGCTAAATTATACTAAGTTCTCTAATTAGATATTAGAGAAAAAAATCTATCAAGACAACGTACCATAAAAATACAATAAAATCAGTGAAAAAACTTAATAAAAAACAATATTTTAAACCAACAGACAAAAGAATTAACTATTTTGATTTTTGCCAAGTGTCCCTGCCCCCTCCCAGAGTAATACACATGCCAGGCAGACCTCAAACTAGGGAAGTATTAATGAAAATGTCCATTGTTGATATCAACCTTCTGTTATACCTCAACATGTGAAGGTACTCAAAACAGAACAGCTAATAATCTTGAAGATTGGGAAGAAATTTACAAGAAAATGCTTTGTTCAAAGCTGTATTGTAAAATTCTCAGGTTAATGACAGCAATTTGCATTAGGCCTGAAAACAATGTAAGTGCCAGTAAAAAAAGCTGTTGTACGAACATAAAATGGTTTTAATGCTCAGTTCTTGATAATATTTAGCCAGCACATTTTGCATTTACAGCTTTTCAGATTGTCTGTAAGGGTACTCTCTTATACAACACTTAATAGTAATCTAAACTTTACCAGTTAAAGCAAAGCAAACTGTATAATCCAGATACAGCATAATTTATGGCAGTGTAGGTATACTTTCAACATCCTAAATAAACATTTTTGTGTAAGAAAATTACTTATTTAATTCTCTGGCTTCTATTAGATGACATATGCATGGATTAGCAAAAGAGCTATCAATTTTATATTTAATAAGGATATTTATTTTGTTTTAATCCACATACACAAGAGTTTTAAGGACTTTTTTGATAGTTCAAGTCCTTAATATTAATTCCCCAGGTTCCCACTTTCACCCAAGGCAAAATCCTATTGAGTCCAGCAATGCTCAGTCTAGGCACAAGGGTACTGAGTTGAAAAACAAAGGCAAGAGTTCACAAAGTCCAAAATTCAGGTCTAGTCCAAAGTCCAAAGAATGAGTCTAAAATCCACTAAGATGTCCGAAGTTCACATGATCAAACGTAGCACAGTCCAGAGTTGAGAAAACTAAAATCATGAAGGCAAGCACCACCCAGCCATTATGGAGGCAGTAGAAAGTCTCGCCTCATTATTACACCAAGATGGCTGGATGTCTCTAGGACAGGGGTCCTTAAACTCTTCAGCTCTTTGCTTCATAAAATTTCAGAGTGTTGATAGTTCCCCCCCAACATTTATTATATGAAAATTTAATACTAGTTTAACTAATAGAACTATGAATAATAACAATAATATATTTATAACAGTGAAAATGCTCAACATGCATATATTTTCATCTATTTTTGGTCATATTATTTGTCCTTATTGCATACATATAAGCAATTAAAACGAATTTTGATCTAATTCACTCATAGTGATGGTATAATATGAATATAGTAAGAAACAATATGTTTCACATTATGCATGTTTAGTATAGGTATTATCTTTCAGCTTTTGATGGAGATATCTGGAGGCTACAGTATCCCATATGCCAGAGTGACTCCTAAATACCATACTCGTCTGCAAGGTATTGAGCCACAAGTGGGCAAAAGACGCTTATCTCAGGCACGTCATAGAGCTACTTTGGCAGGACTGTTCAACAACTTACGAGAAACTGTATTTTCACAACAAGAAAATTCTGTCTCAAAGGTACAGAAATAAGTATGTGAGTCTTTAAAAGTGAAAAAAAATTAAATACAGTAAGAATAATACTTAGTAATAGTAATAAATATTCTTGCTGTATTCACATTCTCTTACAATTGCTGTTTTTAAATTTTATTTATGAAATTAAAGCTATGAAAGTTTGATTTAGTGCTTTTTCCAATTTCATCTGTAAATATAGGGAATTGTCCTCTGTGTGCTATAATTATATCTCGTGAGTGAGAGCAGGCAGTCTTTTTAATAAAGAAGTAAATACTATGGGAGAGTGCCAACTCACAAAAAAACTGCCATGACAGACATACCAATCCATTTATTTTTTAAAAAAACAACCTTTTTTATTTATTAAATGTATTTGCTGCCCATCTCATTTCAAAGTGATTCTGGGCTTTACCACTAGTAACCATCCAAAAGCAAAAGGAATTTCAAGGTTTCTCTCTTCATTGTCAAACTATTGCTGCAAATAAATAATGTTACAAATGAATGTTTACTTTGCAACATGCTAGCTTCATTTTAATTTTACTTAGTAGAATAATCTATCTTTTAAGTCAGATGTCAGGGAAGTTGATGGACACCAAAAGTCTTTCTTTTGGCTTAGAGCTTTGAGCCAGCAAGCTGTGATATAGAATGAGATATGGAAATAAGGATTTATAAATTGATTCCTTTCTGGTCCATGACAATTTGGTATTATCTTAATTTATAAGCCTGTTTCATACTGTTCATGTATTTTTTTAAAAAAATGATCAAAAGCAAGTCAGATTTACCCAGTGCACTTAACACAATAAAAAAAATGTTAGGAAAACAAATATACATTCTAATCTATTGCTGAGATGATTGAGGTATGTGCAAAGTCAGAGCAAAAACTTCAGTCTGTGAAAGATAGCTATTTCAGAGAACTCACCTCTATAACTGAAAGAATAATTAAGGTTTAATGAAGAGACTGTTTTTTCCAATAAACATATCTAGTTCTTCCGATAGAATGAGGTTTCCTGAGAAAATTAAATGCATATTAAACCAGCTCAGGCCTTTTATACAGGTATGCTATCAATAGTCTATCCTCTCAAGCTGTTTTCAAGCCCCTTGCTTCTCAAGTGGTATTCTCCTTCCTGATTGACTATTTATTATACTTAGTGTAGGCAGATGAGAATACAGGTAGTCCTTAACTTACAACCATTTGTTTAGGGACTGTTGAAAGTTACAATGGCACAGAAAAAAGTGAATTATGGCCATTTTTCAATTTCATCATTGCAGCATCCCCATGGTCATGTGATCAAAATTTGGACTCTTGGCAACTGGCATGTATTTATGATATTGCAGTGGCCGGAGGTCATGTGATCGCCTTTTGCAATCTTCTGACAAGCAAGGTCAATGGGGAAGCCAGATTCACTTAACAACTGCGTTACTAACTTAACAATTGCAATGATTCACTTAATTGTAGCAAGAAAGTTCATACAATGGGGCAAAGCTCACTTAAAAACTGTCTCACTTAGCAATAGAAATTTGGGGCTCAGTTGTGTTATAATTTGAGGACTGCCTACATTTTGATTGCCAATAAGGCAAGCTACATTTTACTCTTTCTCCACATGGATTTTGATTGCATGTTTCATGATTTTCATATGGGAGATACTTTAATGCCACGATATTATCACATGTTATTTGTTATTATATAGAAAATATGAACCCAGGCCTCAAAAATAAGTCAATATAATCTGTAAACCTGTATGGCAGCATTGGTTTCCCTTTTTTAAAAACTTTTTTTTCTTTTCTCCTCATAACCTGATGTATTAAACTCTTTCAGAGGTTGGAAAACAATAGCCCTCCAGATCTTGCTAAAGTACAGTCCCCAGTGACCATAGCCCATGTGGAGGGCTATTAGGAGTTATAATTTAGCAGTTTCCAGTAAGTCACGAGTTTCCCATCACACAGGAGCAATAGGTTGATTAGGAAACCTAGGACATACATATGTCTGGGTTTTATTCAAGGTGGTGCTTATCACCTATAAAGCCCTCCATGATATAGGGCGTAGTTATTTGAGAGACTATCTCTTTCTGATAGCGATTTGCCTGCCCAGTAGGATTGGGTAGAGTGGGTATGCTGCAAGTCCCTTTAATTAAACATTGTCACCTGTTGAGGCTTAGAAAGTATGCCTTCTCTGACATGATGCCTGTCAGCTGGAACACCTTGTCCCCAGGTGTACAGCTCTCCTCTGCAGTTATTCTACAATTCTTTCAAAATTTGGCATTAATTTTATTATTTTTTTATCTTTGGGATGTAAACCATTCAGAAGTTGGCCTCGAAATCCAGTTAATTAATTAACTAACCAATTAAATGAACACATGAATATTAACCTATTCAGAATGCATACGATTGGCTCTTCGTTTTTTGTTTGTTTGTTTAGTCTCAGATTTTATGCCAGGCTAAGAATTATATCCAGGAATTGGAGCAAACTTTGGAAAATCTGTTGAAGATGAAAGGTACTATATGGAAGTGCTTGCTAAATCTTTTTCCTCTGCTATGTCTTTGTTTCTTTGAAAAAAAAATAGATTAGTGGCCAAATTATAGAATCAGAATCAGGCTGGAACTTAAGAAGATGAATCTTTTGCAGCTCATATTTACTAGCGTAAGAGATCACTATGAACAACAGAATTAAAAGAATTATCAGAAAGTATTTTCACATAGATTTGCTTCCATTTTTGATATATTCAGTGAGCATTCATAAATTAAAGACTTTGATTTGATTTCACTCTACGGAACCTTACATACATTCCTATTGAGTTTTTCTTGGCAGCAATATGAAAGTGATTTGCCACTGCTTTCTTCCCGAAATAGTTTGAATTCCTGATCTAGTTCTCTCAAGATCTGGCTTTGTAACCAGGATTGAGGGTCTCAGGGGACTGGTGAGATCTCAAGGCTGCTCCATTGCTGATTGAATCTCGTGTGTGTGCTTATAAGACTGACATACTTTTTATACTTTTTTTCTGCATTGCCAGACCCCCCTTGTGAGATGGGTGGGCATATAAATTTGATAAATTAAATAAATTAATCTATGGCCTTGAGATTTTTTTGGTTGTCTCCTACCCAAATTCTAATCTGAAGAACCCTGTTTAGTCTTTTTTGGGTCAGCTAAGATTGAATAGGTGCTGAACTTGATATAAATGTATATTTACCCAAGCAAAAAAAAGGAAGCACCAAAATATCTCTTCAGAGGAATGGACAATTCTGAAGGGCAATGTCAGTCAGTCAATCAGTTAGTCAATTTCTATAGCAGCCTATCTCAGTCAATGACTCTGGGCAGCTTACAATTCAAAAAAATATTTTACAGTTAAAATACTAAAAACATTTTAAAACTATATCCTGTATTTATTATGTATCGCTGTTATCCTATATTGTTAAAACGTTCCCCATTGTTTTGATCAGATACATGTGTCTCTTCTTTTATATGATTTAAATCTAAACAATATTATAAGGTAGCAAAATTTGTCTCTGGCACTGTTTACCAAGAAATGAAGAGTATCATAGGTGATATAAAAGTTGATCTATAGATTAAGTTCATTCTTGCTGCTCTGTTTTAAATCTTACATTTGTTTTGTGCATTTTTTATGTGTTGTGTTTGTAATGGTTTCTTTTATCCCTAGTCCTGGACTGAAATAAAATATCTATTTTTCCCATTGTCAAATATATTTTATTAACACAACTATATTATTATATTTGGATCAGAGAGAACTCTATTCATTTCCTTTTTCCATTATGACATTTGAATCATTGCTCATGTCATCATTTTCCAGCCTAATTTTCAAGCTGCTAATTATGAGTGATTTGTCCAGCTATTCAAGCATCACATACTGTGATCAACTTTTGCATCACCTATTACCATGTGGCCTTAGCTGGGAATGTGGGGAACTGAAACTTCTTCAGAGAACATCTATGCTCCATCACTGAGCTGTAGCCCCTCCCAAAATAGAGCTCGGTGACCTATCGTTATCCATAAAATTTTCTGACTTGTTGCTTATATGATGTTTGTTGCCTTTATATTATCTGTTTTCATTTTGTTGTATTAGTTGAAATTATAAGTTTGGATTATTTTATTGACAAATACATCATGTATATTGTTTGGGCAGCAACACAATATTAATAATACTAGCAGTGATAATATTACAAATAACCAATAATAAAGATAATAGCTCTGCTTGTTTAAAATATTTTCCTACAATACTTTCTTCAAGTACATTTGATTATACTCAAATTTCAAAAAATGCCTATTACGGTAGTAATGGATGTTCTTTCTGTTACCAACAGAAGTTTTAAATCTGGAGGACGGCAATCCATCCAGTTTGGAAGATGTAAAGGAGGAATATGTCAAGATGTATTTCAACAATCATAGGTTAAAAAATTTAAACTTTCTGAAAGTGTCCCTTTTAAATATCTCAAGTCTGTGAGCTTCAGAAAATAATTACATTCCTATTCTATGAAATTTGCATGGACTTACAGTCTTTACTGAGTTGCAGAAACAGCAAGAAGGAAAGTTAATGTGCAATAGAGATTATGAAAGTGCAATTTTTAATGTAATGAATCTCAATCCCACTTTTTTATGCTTGTTTTTCTTTATTCTCTTCGTTTATATTGCTCCCCAGGTGGTTTATGTAGCATGGTATATTTTTTGAAGAATAATTACACCAAACAAAATTTGTTGACTTTTCAACATATGTTCATGACAAAAAAAAAAATACAAATTTAGGTAATCTGTCCATTTATTTTTTAGCATTGTACCCTCTTCAGATGTTTTGAGACAAAATGGCAGCACGGTCTGGTACATGATCCGAGAACATGAGAAACCAATTGTAGAAGAAGATGTAAGTCAGAGGCTAACACAGTCATCAACTACCTCTTCTCCTGATCTCATGGAGTTTGAACGGTACATGAAGAAATATGATACTTCTCCTTTTGAATTGATTCAGCAAATAAAGTTATATAGGGTTAAATTGCTTCAGTTAGTCTAGATCTGAATGAATGAAGACATTTAATAGATTTTAGTAACTGCAAGATAGAAGAAAATAAGGGTATGTTATATTTCATATCACCGTCTTTAAGTAATGGAAGAATATTATCCTATAATATTTTTATATTTGGTTTATTGTATAGCGGGGGAAGAGCACAGCACTGACTGCGCAATTGCGCCGATGAGTGCAATATAATATATTTTGTCTGTAGCTACAGTATAGTTTAGTGAAAAGGTTCATTTATGTCAGATTATTCAAGAATCCTAGTTAAGTGATATTTGCTTTCTTTTTTTATAAATTTTATTTAAAAAAATAATTCAGACTAAAAACAAACAAGAACCAATACTGAATGGAAAAGGAGAAAAAATAAGAGAAGAAAGAAGCAGGAACAAAGGTGCAGAAATCAAAGAAAAGAAAAAATATATAACAATAGCTCCAAATAAAGTGGAAATGCTTATTGATACAAATTGCAAGTCACTACTTAACCTGAACTGCTTCTGAAAAACACATGTTCTGTTTCTGCTATTCTTAAATATATCTATTACATAGTATGGTCCTGTGTACCTATTACATAGCATAATACTTTTTTTTTTTCTGAGAGGACGTAGGGACAGCATTGTAAGAATAACTATGCAATATGACCAGCAGGTGGTGCAAGCATGTTTGAATTACAAGACTTGAGGCATTTCTTAATTAACCTTACTATTTTTTATAGGTGGCAAAAATCAGTACAAGGTTTGTTTTTTAATCCATTACTTATATAGTTATTTTGTGATTTCTTGTCTCATTCCTTCCCTTTTACAGTGATACTTTCAAAGCAAATATGATAACTTTTTATAACAATGCAAATTATTCATATTCAAGATTTTAGTGTGAATTGGCTTGTATTTATTTTCTAATTCCACACTTAGTCTCCTAATTAATGAAATAAATTAATTCTTGCTTTTTAGGATATACTTAATCAAATAAACCCAAATGCCATCCTACAAATCATAAATAAGAGCAAACAGTCCATCCATCTTGATGTTGGTCATCCTTTTCTTTTTCCTTTCATTTGGTCTTCAAGTGAGAACTGTGGATTGGTTTGTACTATGATCTGTTTATTTGTTTTCCCAGCTATTCATGATATTATTGAGTTTTCTCCAATATCAAAAGCACCAATACTTGTTTATTTTGTGTCAGTACAACCTTGACGCCCATAGAGTGTCACAAGAAAAAACTATTGTCATTACAATTATAAACTTTATAGGTCACAATAAGTGTAGACATTTGGGAAGAAGGAGATGGTGATCAGGCCTCTGAATATCTTTTCCAGACTTTCATTGTTGCCTTGTCAGGTTCTAGTTTGTAATATATTTCTAGTTTGTAATATATCTACCACTTCAATTTTTTCATTGTCAATTCTAACTGCCTGTTGTCATTAGTGTGGTCATTTTTTGTATTTAATCTTAGTCTATTATCTTTTGCTTTTGGGCTGGCCAAATGAGAGTTTCAAGATTACACCCCAGTGCCTGGAGACTGTGTGTGCTTGATTGGGAAAGAACCATCTCCAAGCCAAGTCTACAAAGACGGCATGGCTGGGGGGGGGGGGTGTCTTTGAGAAAGCCTAGATCTTGAATATTTATCTGTGACTTTGGATGGATTAAATGTAATTATATGTGACGGACAAGGAAAAGAGGGAACAGTCAGACATGAGAGCAAAAAGCCCCTTAGTTAATTAGAGAAAGAAACAAGAAGAACCCACCCTAAGTGATCAGGCTGCAAAAAAAATCATGGGAGATTTGTACTTTCAGATTTGCAAGATTCTGTTAATTCTACAAGAAAGTAGAATTAGCTTATGAGATTGTGTTTCCTGTCTGATTTTCCTGAGAGAACTGACAAATAGTAAGCAATTTGCGGATATTCCTGAACTCACAGCTGTTGGCCTCTTCAGACAATCACCCAATGTCACAATTTAACTCCAACATATTCTACCTAGGATTGCCCTTAAGGACCACCCAAAAGTTTCAGTTGGTCTAGAAGGTAGTAGTGCAGGCAGTGGTAATCATACCTTGGTATGCCCAAGCAACACCTCTGCTTTGTGTGCTGCACTGGTTGCCAGTTTACATCTGGCTGTGATTCATTATGTTGGTCACTACCTACAGTATAAAACCCAACCTAGCATAGGGCCTGGTAACTTGAGGGACTGCCTACCACCCATATATCTGCCCAGTTGATTTGATATGGCTGGGTTGGCATGCTCTGTTTGGTGTGTTTGATTAAACAAGACCATCTATTGGTACCCAGAAGTATGGCTCCTCCATAGCAGTGCCCACCTTCTGGAATGTGATTCTTCTCAAAATTGAAACAGACCACACCCTATTGATGTTTCAAAGGGCCTTGAAGACCCAGTTCATCACCCAGGCCTTTAGAAAGGAGGAATGAAATCCAGTTGAATTATGTGAGTTTTAGAATTTTATGAAAAATAAATAGTTATATGCTAGCAATTGTTCTGGACTTTATTTTGGATACATTCATTTTGTGAAGTCTCATTATAATTACATTATATTCTGTATAAATCATGGTTGTAATGTATGTCTGTTTAACATTTTGAGTTTGACTTTACTTGGAAGCTTGTTTTTTTCCATGAGTTACAATATAAGAAATGGCAGTACAAACTTAGTGTTTAAAACAGGAATTCCATTTATAATAAGAGTTATATTGATTTTTCTCCTTCCAGGAAATGTTTTAGAAAGCAACCTCTTCCATTTGGATTATGATAAAAGCAGACACTACCATTTTCTAGTTCTTTTATTCTTTTGCTGTGAAACATGAGCAACAGATATTGTTAACATAGTGGTTTAATTAAGGATGTAGTTATTGGGTAACATAATTTTCTGCAGATATTGCCTTGTCAGGCACCCTAGATAGAAAATTATTAAATTTAAATTATTTGATCATTATTATTAAATTATTTGATCATTCTCATCAGTTTTCTTCTCCTACACTTTATTTTCCGTAATTAAGCTATAAAGCTCTGTGGCCCTTGCAATTACTTTAGAAGTGCAGTTGAAGTAGCAATGTTCCTTGTCAGGCATTTTTATGACCCCTTGTATTTGGTTGAAGCATTGAAGATAATTGATTATTAATCAATATATAGGACATATTCATTTTGTATTATCTTTTTATCATTTTATAAGCCACCACAAGTCACTGTAACAGTGAAATAAGGGGCATACAAATTTAATAAATAAATATCAGAGTAGTTGCTTCAATTTAATGCAGGTTATTTCTTCAGTTTTAATGCAGCTTTTCTCATTTTTTCAGATAAGGAGATAATATATAGCCCTACCTTATTCTTTTGCCAACTGGAGCCAGTCTGTTTCATCATTTTCTGTTGTTTCCTGACCTGTGTATAAATTTTGTATGAAGACAATGAGATATTCTGTTTATCCCATTTTTCTAAAGACATTTAATAGATTGATATGATTGATACATTCAGAAGTCTTCTAGAGTCAATGAACTTTTCATTGAGTTTTGGGAGATATTTTTTTTATTTTTCTGATTTTTTGCAAAATACTTCAGCAATAATATCTCCCTCTTCTAAAATCAATTTGAACAGCTGGATAAGGCTCTAATTTGTGTTGGATGACCTTAAGCATTATTATGCTAGCATTTCAGTTACTTATTGTGTAGCAGTTTGCACAATCTCTTAAGGATCTTTTCTTTAGTACTGGTATGTAGCCTGACATCTTGCTATCAGTGTGTTCTCCACATTTTCTAGCACAGTTCAGTTAGAACTTTTACTGATTCTTCTTCATTGCTTGCCATACTTTTGAAGATATTCCATCAATTCTTATAGTTTTCCAATTTGGTAATAATCAGAGTGTTGATTTAACTTGGTATTCTAGTATTAGAAAATTATATAAGTAGGGAATATCTGCTAAGCTGTCTTGGACATGGACATCTGTACTGTACTGTACAGAATTTCAACATATTCCTTGATTTCTTTGAATCTGTCTCTTGACATCTTTAGCATATCAGTTAGATGTTAGAACCTCCTTCTGGTTTAATAAATCTTTTGGAAGACTTTACTTTGTTTTCCATGTCTGTTTCCATCTTTGATGTCTTTATAGATGTTGGAATACTGTTCCTTCTCTAGGAATGGAATGGTTAAAGCCTTCCAGAGAGTTTTGCTTTTCTTGGTTTTGCCTTTTTTCAAAAAATTCTACTTTCTGTTTCAAACATCCAGTTTGGTTTCTTCTATTTCTTAATCATAGACAGTCTCTTTTCACACTTTTTATTAACAACTTATTTGATTTCATTCCACAGTTCCTCTGGCTTCCATCAATAAGGTTCAGGACTTCAAAGTTCTCCTTGAAAATGGTGGGTATACAATATTCCATATCATATTGTGGAAACTAGTTGGTTTTATCCCTGACTTGCAACTTGCACATGAGCAAAGAATCCCTGACTGCACTTTTGCTTTGTAACTGAATTCCTCCGCCTACTTGTGCCGATAAAGTAGTCAAATATTTGATCTGGTGATGTTTCCTAGACCATGTAGTCCAGCTTTTTCCAGGTTTCGAATTCCACATTTCAATCATAAGCAGCATATCATGTATGCATGTTCTGTCAACTTCCGATTGAATTTGACTACAAGATTTGTCAATTTCTTCTGCATCAGTGATTGGGGCCAAACATTGAATAACCCTCATGAAATCTATTTAACTAAATTGTACCAAAGTGCTGTCTTTGCTACATTCTTCCTTGCTATAAGGGAATGGCATCCTGTCTTTGTTTTTCATGTCCTGAGCAGTGAACAGTATGATCTTCTGACTGAATGTGTCCAATTCTCATCCATTTCAATTCAGTGACACCCAAAGTGTATTGCTTTGTGCCTGTTAGATACCATCCCAGACCATATTGTGAGAGATATCTCCTTTCCTGTTTCATTCCAGATACTTGTATTTTTACAAACAAACTGTAGACTTGCTGCTTGATAATGCAGTTGTGAGCCCAGAAGAAGTTATGCTCCCTGTGGTCTCCACAGCTGTTTCCCATCTGTGGCAGGGACTCCCAGAAGACAGGAAGGACAGTGTTTTGCAGTACTGTAGTCAAAGACAGAATTTCATCTCTGAGATCAAGACAGCTTCTCAAGAACCTGCCTGTACTGACGAGGGCAGTATGAGGGACAGTGGAAACAACAGTCAGGAAGCCAGCGGTTCAGTAGCATCCACACCGGAGGAGGTGAGAATTTGTTTCAGAAATTGTTAAAAAAAAGTTTGAGTCAAGAAAAAAGATTTTCTTTAAATAAAATTGTAGCCAAAATAGGCTACATATAATATAATAATCTTATTACAACACAACCACATTTGGTCAAAATGTAAACTCAGGCTACGTCGTTGATTTATTCACCAGTTAGCTCATATTGGTGATAACTAAAATATGTTAGGTGATGGCAAACCTTTTAAGACCGAGTGCCCAAACTGCAACTCAAAACCCACTTATTTATCGCCGGGTGCCAGGTGGGACGTGGCCCACTGGGTGGGCATGGCTCTGGTGGTCATGGCAGACTGGGTGGGTGTGGCCAAAGTGGGTGTGGTCACCTCGATGTTGCTCATGGGGAAGGACGCTTGTGGGGGCCAGGCAGAGTTGGGGGAGATCCAGGGGGTCTCTTGCAGGTGGGGTGGTGGGCAGGAGGCTCGTCCTGCGAGGTGAGGCGAGGCAGGGCAGAGGTGCCATTGCGGGGCAAGGAGGGACAGGGGCTGGGGCAGCTGCTGCCTGACACCATCGGCCCCCGCACACAGAGGCCAGTGAGCTCATGGGGGCTGACAGTGTCCGTCAGCAGCCACAGCCTGCCGGCTCCTTGACCAGTGCACTCTGGGGCTCCGTAGCCCGCCGCCAGCAGTTCAGAGAAGCTGCCTCTAAGCTGGCCAGCTGGCCGACAGCTGAGGAGGCAATGCAGTGGGTCGTGCCTAGGAAAAGGAGAGCATGCGAGGCCAGGAGGGAAACCAGCCATGCCGGGATGCGTCCAGCCACATGGGACCTCGGGCGGCTGGTTGAAGAGGGATGGTTGCCATCTCTGGGGCATGGCACACGTGCCCACAAAGAGGGCTCTGAGTGCCGCCTCTAGCACGCGTGCCATAGGTTCGCCACCACTGTGTTAGGGATATGTGATTTGTGGATTAGGTGGAAAAGTTACAAAGCCTCATTTATCAGCTAATATATATGTGGGGTTCTCCATTGAATCCGTGGGAGATAATAGGCATTAGGGAAAGATGTGATTGTTTTTAATTAAATAGGTTCCAGAGAAATTAATCTCTGTCTTAATGTCTTATGCCCTATGATGTTTTGACAGTACCTTTGACAGTACCAGCAGCACTTGTATGGTGTCAGTTGCAGAAAAAGAACATCATCTAGTACAGTGGTTCTCAACCTGTGGGTCGGGACCCCATTTGGGATCGAACGACCATTTCACGGGGTCGCCAAACAAGGCTGTCCGCCATTTTTCCCCCTTTTCTTTGGCCATGCCCCTGGCACCCGGTGATGTATAAGTGGTTGGGGGTCACCACAACATGAGGAACTGTATTATGGGGTCGCTGCATTAGAAAGGTTGAGAACCACTGATCTAGTAAGGAGGCAGAGAGTAATTTAGTTATTATCATATACTGTTTGATTCTTCTTGAGCCATTTTGATTACAACCAAGCTCAGTGATAACATAAAATAGAAATTAATAAACTATAACCTTAATAATTGGAAATCATCATAAACTATAAACCATAAAAATAAATGTTCTTGGATAAAAAGAGATATTGTTTTTAAATTTGAGGGCTGAAAAATCAGTGCATAACAGTTATGCATACCAACCAGTTTCATCTTACAAATATCCAAGTGCCACACTCCTTATTTGGGAATCACTAGAATAAATGTTAATCAACAGCAGGCATTTAGAAAGAGATTTCTTGTATCATGCTTTTGGATATAGTGCCCAAAATGCTTTCTCTTTTAGATCTTCTTTGAAGATGCTTTTGATGTGGCCACTAGTTTCCTTGATAGAAACGAAACTCAAGAAATATCCAGTCAAAGGTAATGGTTTTAACTAGATAATCTTTAACTAGGTCAGAATAACTATTTGTTCCTATATGTCTGGGCTACTCATTGCGTAGTCAACTTCAGGCCATATCCCCATAGTCTCCTGACCCTACCATAAGCATTCCCTGGTCCCAGGCCATATGTTCTTGTACCTTTGCTTGTATCTCAAGGCAGCCTATAGCAGACGCAGTTGAAAGGTTTTCTGGTGTTCTACTCTAGAAATTCTGCTGTCTGTAATATTCTGCCTCAAGACTCCACATGCAGACAATATATGGCGCATTAATGCTCATGGGAAAGACAATCTAAAATCACATGTTCCAATTGGTTCCACAAGTTTCCTTGGTGGCACTGTGATTAAAATACAGTATTGCAGGCTGACTCTGCTCAGTGCCAGGAGTTTAATCCTGACCAGCTCAAGGTTGACTCAGCCTTCCATCCTTCTGAGATTGGTAAAATGAGGACCCAGATTGTTGGGGGCAATATAATGACTTTGTAAACTGCTTAGAGAGGGCTATAAAGCACTGTGAAGTGGTATATAAGTTTAAGTGCTAGTGCTAGTGCTATTTCCTGTGTAGGAACATACCCTCCTGGGTCTAATCTCTGCCCCTCAGTCCCCTTTTTGCTATGAAGTTGATTAATCCTCCAGCTCTAATAGCCACTTTTTATTTCCTTAAATGAACAAAATGTTTGACCAGATGCCAATATCACCCAAAGGTGTTGGAGTGTGTTAGAGGTTGATCACATACAGAGGTTACACATTTGATGATCCTTAAGAAGAGACAAAAAATCTATTGGGCCAGCGACATGTTGATTGTGGCTTTCTGCACACTGGCTTTTGTCTGCCACCAATTGTGAACTCTGACAGGACAGGCTGAGGGGACAGTGATGCAAACCTGCTCAGATGGCACCACAAAGGAACTCTTTGGGAGCAGCTTAATTTCAGAAGTCACTGTTTTCTATTAGTACAGGCACCGCATGACAGCAAAGCTAGATAATTGTGTGAATTTCCTTTCAGCCAAACTTATAATCAGAGGCCTTTATATGCATTTTTTTGCTTTTTCTTCCACACACTCGATAGGGGACCTCAGTATAGATTATTTTGTTTGCAGCTCAGCGTTCACAGTCTGTGCTTCAGATAGTCAAGAGGATAAACATCACCTCTACTTGCAGATCATTACCTTCTTGAAAAACTTGTTTTTTGCTAGCACACAACCATCACAGGTAGGATTTTGCAATGTGATTGAAATAAGCTTTGTTAGGATCATTTCTCATGTTATGGAAGAAGTACAAGCTCTGTCACAAAGACATTGAAGCATTTGGGTAAGTTGAAAGTGACTAATGCATAAGGACAACAAATCTACTTTCAGAGTCCCATAATTAAGTCATTTCTCAGCTACTCATATGGTAACAATTTTCAGCTGAAACTGCCCCCAAGTTAGGATTAGATTTGGTAATTACATGTATCCAGCTATGCAGTTTTCTTAGCAATAGTAATGAAATAGTTTACCATCACTTTCTGGGATTTTTTTTTTTTCTTACTTCTCACTTTAGCCTACCTTGAAATTCCCTGGTGATCTCTCACCCAAATACCAACCACCACCAAGCCGGCTTATCTTCCAACCCTAAAAAACATCAGCCAAGTTCAGCCACCATCTAAAACAAAGTTCTTTTTGGCTCAGTCATTCCTTGACTTGTAAAAAGACACCTTTCTTAAATCTCTGGAGAACTGTAGCATAATTAAACTGAGCATTTGAGGGGAAACAAGGTGTCCTTATGCTCCACAAGCATCATAAAAAGTTGAAATTTGCTTGTAGTTGTTGAAGATCATGTCAAATAGGTATTTCATTGATAAAATACTCAATCCCTGTATCTTTTAAGGCATGCTGTTCATAGGAAAACCACAAGGAATGAAGGAAAGCAAAATTGGGTAAATGAAGGTATTTAACAACGAAAAAAAGTAGAAATACAATAGTGTAGTTTACAGCAATTGACACTTGATGCCTAAATATTGGCCATTTGATTAGATTTTATGGGCCTCTGACACACCTGGGACTCCTAAGATGACATTATTTAAGGAAGGGACTCTGTCTGTATGCACTTTATTCAAGTGTATGCAATGGATAGATATTTTTGGGAACAGACATCCCACAAATAACCAAATCGTATGTGCTAAAAAGGATTCATAGGTGATAATCAGGCGCTCTGAACTGCAACCAAAAACTTATTGGGAACCATGCAGCTAGTAAGGCAGAAATATCATATGGCAACAATAAACTTATATCTATCCATGGTGCTGCAATCTGGGTCATTTGACTGCTGGGTGGTCTTCAAAGGTAGCTCCAGGTATAGCAGTAGTGAGCAATTATTAGCAATAAATAGAGTGTAGGGACAAAAAGTAAATACAATTTTAGTTATAAATAACAAATGTTATAGAAATGTTATTTCATTTCTTGTCTCTTTTAGTTAAAAAATTAATCAGTACTATTTCTAAGCAAGTGAATTTAGTCCAAACTATGTTTTCACAATAGTAATTCTGAGCTTCATATCCAATCAGTATTTAATATTGCCAGACTCTTACATACTTTAAATACCATTTTGTTCATTAATACATCTGCTGAAGTATTTTTATTTTGCGCAGCTAAAGGTTGGTTAACCAGGACCACCTGTTTTCTTTTTTTTTAATGTAATTTATTATCATACGCAAATATGTTGCTTTTCATCTGTCTATGTCTGATTGCTATCATGTGTTATCTAATTTCTACTTTCCCATAAGAATTATATAGGTAGATTTCAAAAGAGGATGGATCACAATATAATCACCTATTTAAATCTGGTTGATGAAGTATGTTTTGATAGTAAATATTCTGTTTGTGCCCTCTTCAGGATCTTCCCTTAATGAGATGGAAGAGAGATAAACAATAAAGGGATGGCCTTCACACCTTTAGGTTTTTTACAGTTTTTCTAGATTCTTGATGCAAAAACTTGGCACACATTTTGTTAATGTTAAAAAAAGGAATCTAAATTCACTGGTATACTAATACACTCTGTAAGACAAATCTAATGTTTAACAGATTTGAAACATTTATATTGGGTAAATGTAATGGTTAATCTTATTTTATTGTTATTTCTTACCATCTGAAACAGTTCAAAAATGATTTAGAGGATAATTTTTAGCTAATAAAAAAGGAGATTGTCATAAAGAGTCTCAGATTTATAAAATTGGGGATGGTATGAAAAAATATTAAAGCAGGTATATTAACTTTCAAAGTGAAATTCACCTAGCATTTTATTTTTTCAAAATATATAAATTTCTTTATCCAACATACTAATGTACATCTAGAGTTATGTATAAGTAGTAACTTTCCTGAAAGCTGGCTATAGTATTTGATGAGCATGTATTTTAGAACCCATTCAGAGCCCCTTGTTTTGTGCAAACATAGCTAACTGGTGTGGGGAGAGCAAATACATTCATAAATATACTATGTTGGAAATTAATACTGATTTATTACATTTCATTAAGTCAGTATCAGCTTATATTGAACATAAAAGTAGATCTTCTCCAGGATAATTTGTCCCTAAACTGGTCCTTTAGATCTTCCAACAGTACACTGTATCTTCTCTAGGAAATTAATGTAGACAGTTTGGGGGGGGGAGAGAAATAGACTAAGATTTGTGAGTCCTGTTGGACTGAGATTTAAACTTCCAAAAGTATTTGGCTAATAGGTACTGGATTGAATGGATATTTAGGACACTTCCACATTATTGGGGGGTTTTTTTTACACTATTTTGGGTTTGACTTTGAGCTTGACTGTTCTCACAATATTGTTTGAGGAAATTGATATGATTGTTGTCAGTGTTTCTTTTAATCTCTGGGGTACTACAAGTTTGTGGTAATCTGTTTTATTATTGGAGAAACTTGCCTTACTCAAGCCATGGGTTTAAGGCAAGACAGCCATTAATCTTCTTTGTATCATCTCACAGTTCTACATTTCTTACTGTATATTTTATTTAGAACTTATCTCTTTCTTGTTCCAATTAAAATTGTAGAAACATGCAGTCATTCCCATAACTATTGGGAAAAGTGATTGGTTGCAAGTTTGCTAACATGCTATTTCTTTGAGAATACTTTCATGATATGGAATTCACAGGAGCTTTTAAATGGCAGTAGGTTAACTAAGAAGATGCTAGGGGAGTATTTTAATGCATTTATTTATTCTTCACTATCAATTTTCTCTCAGCCTAGCTACCCATCACAACCTCTTTGTCAAACTATCAAATACTGAAAAATGATGGGACTGGGCACTAACAATTTATTTAATTTCCTTTTGTGTGTAGCAAGGGTGTAGTGATTTGTATTGATCCAGTGACTAATAAAAATGTTCTTTAAAGTCTCTTTTTGTTAGCTGTAAGATAAGCACTAATTGGCTTATGAGATTCTCTTTGTCTTGTTTCAAGACTGAAAGATTTGAAGTTATTTGTGCTTAGTTTCAAACTGATTTATGAGGGACTGAGGAATGACAATGTGGGTAATATGGAAAGCCTGCAAGTTAAAATAATGCCCATAATGGTTTCAATGGAATAAATGATGGATATCAGTATAATTTTATGTAATCTGCTTGTAAAGAATATGAGAATATGTTGAGCAATTTTATTATGGTGGCCTCCCACAAACTGGCATATCCTGATATGCTGGCATTACAGCTTCTCAATTTCCAGTTAATTTCTAGAGAATAACATTTTCTGTGTTATGGAAAAAAAATCCTTCCAGATCCTAGTATGGAAACATGAATTTAAAGAGGAGAGGAATGGCACCCAAGGAGGTAGAATTGCTTAAGAGAATGATCCATTTAAAAAAATCAACTGATAAATCCCCAATGCAGTTCACTCCAGCCACTGACCTGCAGGTGCTTCCCATTTTAATTCCTACTATCTCTATCCCAGGGCAGTTTCTGTATAAACTGTTGTACATCCTAGTTTACGAACCTTAACCAAAATTAATTACCCACAGGTTTTTCTTGATATCAATGAAATGTAGATGTTTCTGTTTTTTTAAAACAGTATATTGAATCAAAATCAATTTAAGAGGAGCAAGATATAATCATACTTTATTTTACGCACATAGTTTGCAGCTTATCCTATTTTACTCCACATCTATTCCTTCAGAATTTGACTGTGTTGTGGTGATAAAATAAATTAGTTAAACTAAGCTTGATGAATGACAATAAATGATGTTTATGTATATGTTTCACCACAGATCCACAAGCTCAGTAAGCATGCATGATCATATTAATCAGCCTTTAGTATCTTTTCTAAATTATTTTTAAATATTTTTAGAATGCTAATAAATGAGTTTCCTATCAACTGAGTTCTAGAAATCTGAACAATTAGCAAAAAAAAAAAAAGAAATTACATTAAATACCAAGAGCCATGTTCAAAATCAGTCTAACAAAATCAGTTCTCTGTAAGTTTGTTTGTGTTTTTATATTTGCTTTCTGACCAGCAAATCAAAACTTCTGCAGAGGGAGAAACTAAACAAAAAGCTTGCCTATTTAGTAGCACATTCTTTCTTTAACTTTCTCCTTTTTTAAAAAAATGCAGATACAATTTGGATTAGAGCCACTTTCTAATGTGAGGTACAGAGTTACACTGGGATTTTGTGTTACAAAATAGTATTTGGATAACTTTTTATCACATTATTATTGTGCAATGTTTTCTCTACATCTTGATTTAAATGTAGTAGACTTGACTTGCAGTATTTTTGAGCTATGAGATAGCCAGCCCTCCTGGTAAGGAAACCAGTTGAAAGAACAACATTCACATCCATAGATCAGCAGGCTCTGATTAGCATCTGCCACAAAGTCTTGCTGCATTTATGTAAAAACACAAGTATGCTCAATATATTGAGAATCTGACTACCAAAGAACTGTTCTGTAGATCATTTAAACTTGCTATGGAATGTTTATTCATTAACTCTATTACCCAAAATAGTCAGGCTCCTAACAGAACTTTAATTATTTTTCTCCTCCACCTTTATTTTTGGCAGGAAGAAATTCTTCAGTTAGACTACGAGACTGTGATGTTGCGATGCACGGAGACATTTGATGATGATTTGTAATGAACATGTTCGCATTAAGTGCAGAAATATATATATTTCCTCAATTTCCTTTAAAAAAGAAAAAAGCATTACCATGGGAGATGTTACCATAATTTCTGTTACCATAACATACATCATGTTACAAACAGTTGTTTATGTTGGCTTTGCAGTTTCTCAGCAGCTACTTTACATGTATTGAAGTTTAACATTCATAAAATTCTTTTTTAAATATATGTCTTAATTCAGTGTTGCCAGTGTCAAGTCATAATCTTATATCCTATAGATAATGTTAAAAACTAAGGACAAAACTACCTGTGATACCAATTGTTTCATTAATGAAAATAGTTTTCCATTAACCTGGTGCCTTTAGATATGTTGGAACACATCCCCAGAATTCCCATCAAGGCCCCAGATTGTTGAAAGTCTCTTTAAAATTTAGGTGCTTTCTGTACTTGTGGCATCATCTCAGGGAAAACTCACAATAAAAGCAGTGTAGTATAATGGTTAAAATACTGGAGTAGACCCAGGGTGATGCAGTATGCTATCAACTGCTGTTCCATTCAACAGTTAAACCCTGGTTATATTATATATTTCAGTTAATCTCTAAGTGGAGAACACAGACACAATCTCTACAAAACTGAAACTAAACCAAAACTTAAGCTAAACTGAAGAAGCTTCTTGCATGAGAAGCAAAACATTTTCAAAGAAAAGAAAACAAGAAAGTCCAGTTGCCTTTTGGAAAATGCACTTTTGGGACAATCATGACCTGGATGATCGAGAGTCTCCATAGACAAAAAGCTAAACACCTTTCTGAACATTTGAAAACATAATGTAAATAGGCTTCAAGAGCCTGGGAAAGAGAATGATGATTTGAAAAATATTATAAATCCTGAATTTCTGTACATTGTTCCTTTATCAAGAAAAAGGCAAAACAGCCTAACCCATCAACGGGTGGTTAGCAAAAGGATCAAGAACTCTCCACCCTAACAAACTTAAAAGATAAATTGGGTACTAAAGTCAGTGTAGTCAGTTGCTAAAATTTCTGTAACCTAACTCCTTTTTTTTTCAATAAATCTAATTAAGCATGTCTATGAAAACCTTACTTTTTGGTTATAAAGAAATAGTCATTTTATAATCACTTTTTATGTGCAACTATAACCAGAGTCAAATTTTATTTAGAAATATTTGTGAAATATACTTCTGCCACTTATTCATGACTTCAGGCACCCAGTGCCTTTTTTAAAAACTGCTGACATGTTAATAAGCTCTCCATGATTGATTTATTAGAGTTAATTAGGGAAGATAATACTCACAAATCAAGAAATGCCTCTAGTTAGATTAGATTGTTCAATCTATTTTCAACAGTCGTGAAAACTGGTCTTTGAGCATTTAAAAATAAAGATCAGCACTTACAAAGCAGCAGGAGTTTCTAAAAAGTACTCTAGATGCCCCCAACTCAGATTACATAGAAAAGTAAAAGCAAGATCTGGAAGTGCAAGAAAAATCTCTTCAAACTTCCTCCAAATTGGTCAGAACTACAAAACAGAATTTTGGATCCCTGCAATGAAATGTTTAATAGGGGAGTTATCCATAGCACAGCTTCCCTTGAATAGCAATAATCTGCATGTAAGGAAAACTTTTCTCCAAACTCCTCCCCCAAACCATTCTCAAAAGTATGAAAAAGAAAACTTCAATAAGCCTGAAAAGTTTTGCAACAAATATTGAACTGTCTGGTTCCAATCACACAAGATACATTTGGAGAAAAGGGAGTGAAGCATGTGAAGAAATGGTCACGTTGCTAACCATGAAGCACAGAGATGTCTCATATTTTGGGTTAAATGGCAATCAGTGGCACATGCAATATTGTGCAGGTGGAATGAAGAATGGTTTCAAGTATATATCAGCATATCTCGAAGTTAATGTTAGTAAAGAAACTGAAAAGAGGCCAACTATCTTAGTAAGACAAACTAAACTACCTCCAAATTAACCATGAAGTGTGTACAGGAAAGAAAGCTAAAAGTTCTGGTATGACTTTCACAGTCTTCCGAATTAAATATCAACAATTTATGAGGGGATCTCAAACATACCGCTCACAAACACACGGGCCTGAGTATTTGTGAATAGAGGAGTTGTGCAAGAAAAAGTGAAGAAAAATTCTAAAAACAGGAATGGAAAGATTCTTAACTTGTTAGAAGAAATGTTGAGAAGCTATTATTTCTGCCAAAAGTGGAATTAACAAAGTACTAACTGAGAAAAGTATTCAAACGTATTCCATATTCAGTTTCCTTACTTTGAGTCTCCAAACAGCTGCATATATTTACTAAGTACATATTCAGGAGGATGCTTACAAAACCATTGTTGTAGTTGTACTGATAGAATATTTGTAGCTCAGAGTTGAACTTGGGTGTCCTTGATGCCTCAGTAGTTTTCTTGCAGATGATTCATTACCAAACTAGGTAACAGCCTCCTGGTGATCATGTTATCTAGCGATGATGTTACCTAGTTTAGTAATGAAATGTCTGCAGGAAAACCAACAAACTCTGATAGCACTAAGGACTCCATAGATCAGTGATTCTCAATCTGTGGGTCGGGACCCCATTTGGGGTCAAACGACCATTTCATGGGGGTCGCCAAACAATGCAGTCCGTTATTTTTTTTCCACTTTTCCTTAGCTGTGCTACTCCCTTTTATTCTATTGGCTTTTGAAAGCCAATAGAATAGACTCTCTTGAATAGAGTCTAATTCTATTGGCTTTCAAAAGCCAATAGGAATTGTCCAGGCTGTCTCTGCCCTGCTGAGCCCGCCAAAAGTCCCATTCTGCAAACGGTGCTGCACCAGTTGAGTAGTCCTCGACTTACGACCGGTTGAGTAGTCCTCGACTTACGACCGGTTGGGGGGTCGCGGCATTAAAAAGGTTGAGAACCACTGCCATAGATAGAAGATGTTGTGTTTGACTTGCATTTAGAGGCTGTGTCAGCTTCCATTCATGTGGAGATTCACCAAAAAACACTATTTAGCCAGGGGGGTGCCTAAATCTTTTCTTGCAATTGTAAGGAAGTTCCCTGGAGAACTTTGTGCCAGTTGTCATATCTCTGGATTCTTATGGGGCAAAATTGGAGACAGGAATGGATGTATAGCTTCTGGAAGAAAAGTGGGATCTAAATCTAATACGTAATAGTAATACAGCTGTCACCAGAATTATCTGGGTTAAGAGTATGGCAATTTATTAAACTTTTTTCAGATGTCAAGGATGGACATTTCTAGAATAGGTCCAAAATATAGTAGTCTGGTAGTTCTGTTGTGTTTATTGTACTTTTTTATAGCTTATGTATATAAACTGAAGAAGGATATCTATTATTTGCAATCATACAGTAGTAGTATGCTGCAAGGAAAGGAAGCAATTAAGGGGCAGCTATTAATAATCTTCCCTTATTCAGCAGAGTTATCATTATATGAATATTTTTAGAAGTGAGACAGTAGCATCTGAAACAAAATATGTATAAATGGTAATTTATTCAACTGTTAATCATATTCAGTCCTAACAAGTATATCACCACTGTATTTGTTTCTGTTCTATTCTTTCAAGTCATGATATACTCAAAGCAGTTTACAAAGTCACCACAATAGAAAAACTTGAAATAGCAAAACAGAGCACATCAGTTAAAACAGGAACAGTTTTAAAATGCATTTCAGTTAAATATTAAGAACAGAATTAAAAGATGTTCATGGAAGTCATTTTCAAAGCTCATTTAAAGACTAGTTACATAACATACTGAACTACAAACTAGCTAGTTACATTTTAATTTAGTGTGTTGTGGGTCTCCTATAAACATAGAGAATTGGATTTAAATGTTCAAAACGGGTGAAAGGATAAGGCTGTCTTTCTTAAACCTGCTCTCCTGTTTTGGGCCATCATCCAAAAGACTCCAAAGCAAATGGGAGTAGAAAGAAGCAGCTTGGCTGTAAAGTAACAACATTGTCTTGGAAAAAAGAAAACATAGATATTTGTTGATGCATTTTATCTTACTTTTTTTTAAGATATGCTTTGATGATGTAGATCACGGGTGCCAGCAATGGGGTGGGCGCAGTTTCACCATGACGCATCTAGCCCACGGGCCATCACAAAATTGAACTAAATTAGCCAGAATGTAATTTCCTGCTGCTGAAATCATTAATCTTGTTTCTTTATACAAAAGAATAATTTCAACCATGTACCAAAGAATTACTTCAAGATTTGAAATGTTAGGCTCAACTGCCAATAGCTTGCCAGCCAGCAAATCAGGAAGCCCTTTTGCCTTTGGTTACAGTATTCTTGCCAAACTTAAGTTAGTGATGATCGTTACAAGGCAGGACACAAGTACAGACAGTGGCATTTATTTTAAGCACATTCTGGATTAGATTAGATCTGGGCCCAGCACAAGAATGAAGAACATGTTTGCAGTCCTTTTTCAAATGCATGCACTATTGCTCAAATTAAGATGTCCATTGTTTCCGTAAACAATGTGCGTTTGTTTATCAAATTTCTACTCCTGCTCAAACAAACAACAATTTACTTAGACTGGTCTAAATCTAACTTTGGTTATGACAAAGGCTAAAGCAGTATTTCATCATTTTAAAAAAAATCCAAAACTAATTTTATATTTGTTATAAAATTCACATAATATCCATTTGAATGACTCATTAAGCATAACATTAAAAGTAGTATGGTAGAGTACACAGATTAAGACGAGTTTAATCCAGTGAAGGGTTTTGTCTACTAAAAAGTGTTCTGGTACTTGTTAGATATCTAATTGCTTCTGCATAATTAATTATAAAGAAAATGTCTGGGCACGTATACAGTATATCATCTCCATTTACATGGTGCATGCGTGTCATAGAAGGAATCACTGGAAAAGAGGATATTCTACAACTTTGTTTTCTTTCTGTGAGTGGAGAAAGCTTTTCCTAGACTTGTTTCTTCACATGATCAGCAACAGTTCCATGCCAATTTGCTCCTTGGAATGGGGAGGATCCTTAAGCCAGAATTTGTCAGAATCTTTGCTTTCTTATTTGTAAAGAAGCCTACTACAGCATATGTGCCAGTTGTTCCTCAGCAGCAAGCAGGACTTTGCTGAAACCACCATGGCAAACAGAAGAACTTATAGATTTATAATTGCTCATATTTTCTTTTGCAATAACACCATGCAGCTCTAAGCTCTGGATTCAAAAGACTCATTGGATGCTATGAAAGTGAGCTAATGGGGTTTTAGGCTTCATTCCATGTTAATAATCACGAAAATGACACAACAACTATTGTGCATGTGTCTAGCTACCTTGATACAGTATCCATGTAAACTATTCAGATATATATGTGAGAGCTATGATGAGAAGCAGTGTTTGAACGTTTCCATTCATATTTCCTAATAGCCATATAGAGAAAGAAGGATGCAATTGGTAGGCTGGGAAGTAGAGTATGCTTTGCTTACTTCAAAGTAACAATACTCAAAGTGAAAAACCGGTATTAAATCCGAAATGAAGAAGACTGAAGAATGGACATATAGATGGTATGAAAAAAAGGAGATACAACATAGAAATAGAATAGTTTATTTGGCCATGTGGGATTAGACATGCTTAACCATAACATAACAGGAAACTGAAATGGGCAGAAAGGACCTGATTTGGCCCTTCCATATTGCCCTATGGTTAATCAGATCCAAATCCTTTTTTTCAGAATTTTAGAAAATATTGCTTTGCAATGCAAACCGTAAGTGTGATATGATGCAAACAATCATGAACAAGTCATCAATACAAATCCTCTCGAAATCAGAACATAGGAAATAACTGTCAGCATGAAGTAGGGCTTCTTAGTAAACCAAAATGGCCTACACCCAAGAGAATGATCAAAAAGCATTTCCTCATGCATGTCACATTGCTGATATTTTTCTTTGGGTACAGTTTAAAAATAAGGACAACATTATATGAACATATATTTATCTGGATAACATACAGATAGTCCTCAACTTATACTGGTCACTTAGCAAATGTTTGAAGTTAAAGGAACCTGCCCCCCAAAAAAGTACATAGGACCCAGATTCAAAATTCTGATGGTCACCCCCCACACACAATCACATGGTTGCATTTTGGTGTCCAGCAACCAGCCGTTTATAGCATCCTGGTCATGTGACAATTTACATTTTTTGCTAGAAACCAGAGTTTACTATCCTCCAGAGATTTTATCAATTTAACCTGATGATTAAAATATAGGGGGACACCAAAAGCCCAAAGCATGCAAATTTAGGGTTTGATCAGCTGTATCCAATCAGTTCAGCTGAGATAAAGCTTGAGGCTGTATTTACTGAAACCGTAGCCTAACGCTTTGGGATGAGTTTATTCATTTTCTCAAGAATTACACTTAAGATTTTCTGGGCAACAGTTTTCCATCATAGAAAAGAAAATTATTTTCCATGACCCACACCTGTACTTCCCACTCCCTAAATAGATGATTTCCTGAAATGATGCTATAAATAAATTAACACTCAGGATGGTGCCAGTCGGCATGCGGGAGGGAATCATGGAGCTGCTTTCTGTACATTAGTCTTGAGCCGCACACAGCTCAAGGGTCAAGAAGCCCACAAAAAGGAAGATGATTTTTCAGAGGCTTAAGAAACTGTTTTGCTGCAGATTTAAACTTTTGTGTTAATATCAATATCAGAGTTCCTTTCAAAATCAGTTTTAGTCCTCTTCTCTTCCTTTGCATCTTGAGTAGCCAGCTGCTTAGGGCACACTGGAAGATATTTAAACCAGTTAGCAACACAGAACTTGGAACCTATTCCAAATGGAAGATCATAGATGTGCAGGTTATTCACAGCACCATCAGACTCTTCATTATAATCTTTTCTCCAAGCGAGGAGCCCTCGTTCTTCTGGGCTTCCTGTAAAGCGAAAGCAAGATGGTGAGTAGCAAGGCCTCGCGCCTAAGTTATGGTTAGAAAGCTATTTGCTGTTCCAGGTAAATACCAGTACTAGTATCAGAATGTGTGATTTTGAAAAAGCCCACACAAAAGGTCAGGGAAGTCAACAGAAAATTTGACCACCTATCTATCCCAATTTTGTGGGAGAAGGAATTTTCCTTTACTCTTTCTCCTTAGTACAAAGTTTCTGCTCCCCACTATTCAGCTAATTTAGGATACTCACAGTATTGCTTTGAGGACAGAAATATTTGCACCACTTTTCTCCAACATGATAGATTATCTGGCACTTCTTCAACTAAATGGCCACATGCTGTCATAGTTGGGAAGGGAGTTTCTACGCAAAACCATCTGATTAGGCTTCCAGCATGGGGGAAGGGGGGAGCGTACAACATCTAACAGTTGCAAGCCATGTGCAAGCATATCTGTCCTTAATAATAATAATAGTAAACTTGGAAGGGACCTTGGAGGTCATCTAGTCCAACCCCCTGCTCAGGCAGGAAACCCTATACCATTTCGGACAAATGGCTTCAGGATGAGAAGATTACAATAAATATTTCCCATAATGTGCTTGATCACTGATAACAAAATTGTGAGAGAAATATGTTTCTCCTTTTCTTTCTTTCCAAAATATGTAATATAAAATATATGCAGAAATCCACAAGACCAGTTCTAAATAGAAATATCCGTGATCCCATGTAACAGTACAACACTCTGGCTTTCCTCAGGTGACAACACCAAGGATGCTTACTACAGTGCATCACTGAGGGTTGTTTGCGTCTTACTCTAGATATGTCGGTATTACTGTTTTGTGAGTAACTCCTATGTAACTAAGCTATAATTGCTATACTTAATTAAATAATTTATTATTTTAATATTCAGTATTTGTTTTATCCAAGCCCTGTTAATTTTAATGTCTGTAGTGTTTTTAATGTTTTTATATTTTTATTTTCTTGCTTTTATTCTGTTGTATGCTGCCCAGAGTCATTTTATTAATGAGACAGGTGGTATATAAATTTAATAAATATATTTATTAATAAAATAAGTGGTTTCACTAAGTGGGTAAGGCTGAATCACATGAGTCTTTCCTAAGGAATTGGCATTAATATTCCTACAGGCACTGACTCTGTGGTCAGCATGTATGTATGAATGTATTTACATCATTTACTTTGCCCCATCAGCTCCAGAACCATCAACAGAATAACACGCTCTGACATGACTAGGTAGCATCTCAACCTTATCTTCAGGGGCAGCAGTTAGAAAGGCATAAACAGTTTTCTATTTTTATGTCATGTAGTACTGAACTGCTTGTGGAAAATGGTTTGAACTGAGTCCCTAATAATGGGGCCTGGCCGGTTCCAAAACTAAGCATTTAAGACAAAACAAAAATTAAATTCAGCATAATTCCTTTCTGATTTTACTTACTATTAAATAAAATTTTAATTAAGCTGCACTGTGTTTTAAAATGAGTGGCCATATAAATCTTTTAAAATAATGTAAAATAACTAAATTAAAATTTGGTGGGGTAATCATTGCTTACTTTTTACTACTTCTCCCACAGCCATTTAAACGTCATTAATCTGTTGGCAATTTTTACAAGAGTCCTTAGAGTATCACTGAGGGCTCTCAAGGCCCACTAGCTGGTCCTGGAGTAAGAAGGTTTGTACCCTTAGACCAGGGATAGGCAACCTTGGCTCTTTTATGACTCGTGGACTTCAACTCCCAGAATTCCTGAGCCAGCATGGTTGCCTACCCCAGCCCTAGACAAATTCTCAAAATGCCTTTACTTATACTGCTGCACTAGAACCATAAATGCTATCATAAATTCAAGGAAGAAGAACCATGATCAATAGTTACCTGGAATAGTGTTATCAAGAAAAAAGCCCAGGAATCCACCAACAAACATGCCAGTAGTTAGCAGCACCTGGATCACTTGGTCTAGCTGTACAGTTCCTAGAAAGAGAACCCAGTGAGTTATCAGAACAAATCACAACCTCCCAATCCTTTCCCAAGGGAAGAGAGGCAAGTCATTTGAAATGTTCTCTTTTCTTTTAATAATTAGGCCATGGCATTTGCTTTACACTGAAAACATTTGTAGTCCATGTGGAATGTTTGTTTTGTTTCAGTCTTCTACACAGAAACCCTGGCATAAATACTTCCCAAAATATTCATGGATCCCTGTGATAAACAGACAAGGAATATAAGAGTATGGGATTCAATCTTCAATTTCACATCAATGGATCATTGACTTTAGCATCAGGAATGGGACATTTTGTGAAGGACTCAATTTTCAATACTCCAATTCCTTAATTAGCTCTCATCCAGCAACTGGTAATATGATTGCTGTGCTTCATCCAGTTGAAATTGCTGGCTTCAAACCTTCAATAATCCTTTTTATGTTAATGATCTACTAGATTTAAGTAACAGGAAATCATCCAAGTCTGAGCAATGCTTTAGAATGCTGTATTGTACAAGATATGTGCAATAATCTAATTATAGTACATAGTAAATTGCCCAAAATGTTGTCACTAAGGTTCAATTGAAACTAGTTTTGCAACTTGAATTCACTGGAGTCAAATCTCAGATCTGATATCCACTGGCAGCTCAAATATAGATTTGGATGCATATATAACAATATCATTCTACTGTATTTGTAGAGTCAAGAGAGCAAATAAATCAGAGCTGAAAAACCTTAACCTACTTAGATGCTGATAGTATCATTTAATATTTCTCATATTTGACTGCACTAGCTGGGATTTACAGATTAGTAATAGCCTCTTCGGTTCTGAACTAAATCACAGCATTTGCAGTCATATTCTGCTCATTATATAAGCCACATATAACAATATTTTTGCATATCCAAAATACCTTTTAGAATAAGTAGAGAAGCATGATAGAGTATGAAACCTATAGAGTTGAAGTCTAATATATGGCAATATCTCCCATTTTTGTTATACTTCTAATTATTGCTCTCAAAACTGTAATCTCATGTACCTGTTTTTAGTTTTTCTGTATTATTCTCCACCCAGTGTGGAATGGCTAAGCCAGCAAATATAGAAAATCCAAAGATGAATATGTTTCTTGAAGAATTCATGTCTGTGTACTGACAAAGAGGTATAATTGAAACAAAATATATTAACTTATGCCAATGATTTTACATGTAAACAGATCAGCATTATTATATCATGCTAATGTAGTGGCATATCAGTTCTACAATGCTGCCAAGAAAAAAATGCACAAATGCTGTTTCATGGAGTCTAATTCAATTCAAAGACACTTTTGCTTAACTTTATATACTCAGAGCACAAAGGACAAGTTTCTGAGCCCAAAGACATAGATTCTGATATTCAACACTGGAGAAACAAGAGCCAGAGAGAAATAAGTAGAGAAGCAGCATAAGCTTAGTAAAACATATATTGTAAATGAAATGTAAATGTAAATATTGTAAATTGAAAATATTCTCTTCTATTGATATAATAAAGGATATATTTAAAATATAATAAATTGGGTTATGACAGGACATTAGAATTTGGTAGATAAAGGCTTCATAGGAAAGACTGAAGAAGAGAGATAGTTGATAATAGTCCCAACAATAGGATAGGAAATGTGAAGGGTTAGTGGGGGGGTTTTGGGGGAGAGAAGACCTTCAGGCAACAAGGATGGTAGCTATGGAGAAGAACTGATTCTAATGATGTTCTTTAAGACAACTGAGGGAACAAAATACTGAAGGCAAAATGGATGTCAATACATGTAAATGAATCAGACTGTACGTATAGTACAATAAATATTTGTTAGTTGAGCCAATTCAATTCAAGGCTTGCTTCCGAGTCAGTTTAAAGTGTTGGTTATTATTTTTAAAGTCTTATATATGGCATAGGCTATGTTACCTAAGGAACCATTTCATTTCCACCAACTCAGCCTTTCCCACCTGGTCAGGTGGGAAAGGAATGTTTCAGACCCATCAGTTAAAGCAGTGGTTCTCAACCTTTTTAATGCCGCGACCCCCAACCGGTCATAAGTCGAGGACTATTCAACCATCGTAAGTCGAGGACTACTCAACTGGTGCAGCACCGTTTGCAGAATGGGACTTTTGGCGGGCTCAGCAGGGCAGAGACAGCCTGGACAATTCCTATTGGCTTTTGAAAGCCAATAGAATTAGACTCTATTCAAGAGAGTCTATTCTATTGGCTTTCAAAATCCAATAGAATAAAAGGGAGTAGCACAGCTAAGGAAAAGGGGAAAAAATGGCGGACTGCATTGTTTGGCGACCCCCGTGAAATGGTCGTTCGACCCCAAATGGGGTCCCGACCCACAGGTTGAGAACCACTGAGTTAAAGAATTTTGACTGGCAGGGTCCAAGAAGAGGGCGTTCTCTGCCATTGTTCCTGCCCTCTGGAATACCCTTCCTCCAGAGATGAAGCAGACCTTCTCCCCACCTCTTGAAGAAGTCTGAAGACCTGGCTGCCAATTCACTTTGGGCTCACTGAGCAGCATGCAACCCTGAGGGTCTTAAGGTTTTGATGGTCCTGTCCCACCTTTTAACTTTTAACTTCTTTTATCTGCCTTTTTTATTGATATATATTATTTTTATATGGTTTTAGGTCTTTATGTTTGCTAATTGTATACTGCCCTGATTCATTCTGTGGGTGAGATGGGTGGTATCTAAATTCAACAAATAAAAAATATTAAGTTGGACTAAATTCTTATATGTGGGTAGATTCTCAATACAAGATTCTCGCAAGTCAATAAAACTAAAATTAGCATGGTGTTATAAAAGCACAAAAAAAACATAACAAAAAGAATCAAATAAACATATTAACAAATTGAATATTGATTGTGATGATCCATGTAATTTGGCACGTGGAAATTCCAAATGATATTCAGCACATCCCAATTTGTAAATCATGCTACAAGTGGCTCTGTCTTATCCATGCAAAATTATCCTAGAAAAAAATCCACTTACCTGTAAATTAGAAACCCCCACAGCCGTGATGATGCCAAACATCACAAGAAACATTCCTCCGATGATGGGTGTTGGAATGCTGGCAAACACAGCCCCAATCTTGCCAAACATGCCAGTCAAAAGCAGAACAAAGCCACCAGCTACAATGACCATTCTACTACCTACCTGTGGAGAGGGAGAGAAAGCAATTACAAGCCACAAAAAGAGGAGAAAGCTGATCTACACCTCCCAATTGTCAACTTTGATAGGGTTAGAAGGAAAATTTCAAGATTCTTTAGCTGAGTCAAATATCCTTTATTCGATAGTATGCCAGAGGACTTCCATCTAACAATTATCAAGCCAAACAGTCATTTTGAATAATTATTGTAAAATATACTAAATAATGCAATTTTTCTTATATATATAATATACCTCCAAAATATAATATAATGGGTCATATTATGATAGAGTTATCATTAAATATGTAAAGATATAACTAGGAATAATAAAATGTTATTGAAAATTATTTTTTAAAAAGGAAAGTAAATGCTCTGAGTGCTAATATCAATTGAAAGCTCTAACTTCCTCAGAGAATGTCTAAATCCATTCACCTACTGTTTTTTATTGTTTTTAAAATCAGGAAGCTTATCAAACTCTGTGGCATTTTTTGAATATAAGAGAATAGAAGGGCACATTCCTTTTAGACCACCTCCCTGAGCAATCAGCTGCTATTTTTAGAAGTCTGAAGAATCACCCACTTTCATCCACAACTGTTCTATGCCAGCCAGAATATGCTCTTGTGAAATAGATGGCCACCTAAATATGATAAATATATTTTAGTTAAAACTATGCCAAAGCAGCATAGTTGGTTTCTGAACTTATAAAACTCAGGATTCCCTTGCAGCGACCTTCTTTGCAACATGCAAACCCAAAGGAATAGTAGGGAATTTAAATCATGGTCTCAGACCAGATACAAAAGTGTCAATGCCTTATAACCAAAGCATATGCATCCCCAAAATGCTCCCAAGTTATCTGCAAAGCAGAAGATGCACAGGCTTTTCTTCCATTATTCCTAGTCACACGTGGCCACTTTTGGTTTTGATTATTCAAAATCAGACTTACCCGCGTGATCCCCAAAGCGCCAACATTTTCACTGTAAGAAGTGGTACCATTTCCTGTTCCCCAGGCTCCAGCCAGAAGGCAGCCAATCCCTTCTATTCCAATTCCACGATTGATTGCGTGCTTCGGAGGGGGTGGAGCACCAGACAAACGAGCACAGGCATAATAATCTCCTACTGACTCCACCATGGAGGAGATCACTCCAGCTATGATGCCAAATACACCAGCCAAACTAATCGTGGGCACTCCCCACTGGCCTAAATAGAAGAAACAAGCATGCTAAAATTGAAGATATGAAATTGGTAAATTTACCTGCAATTTTTGATTTGCCAAATTCAGGACAGCTAAAAGCATGTACTGTTAACGAATTCTTGTAAATATTTTGTAAAAGCTCATATCAGTACTGTAGTCTAGTCTCATGTATGTTGTTGCATTTAGATAAAAAAATAGGAGATTGTTCCAACAGTTTATCTAAATACTTTTTTTTTTTTTTTTTAGAAAACTCTGTATACCATCACGATCATATTTCTAAAAGCCCAAAGCAAAGGCAGATCCAAATGGGAAGTGGAAAGATATAAGAAAAGTGGGGGAGTCTCTGTTTCTGCACTGGGATTTTTCATTATTTGCAACGCTTACTTGAATAGTACTGATCTAAAATTATTCTCAAGGAATTCAGACATTTAAAAAGGCCAAAGAGCTTGGACATAAGTGATGAAGAAATGGGATAAAATGGGATGCTCCAGATCTAATGGGCCACATAAACATAAATACATTTTTGTATAGAAGAAACTGAAGATTTCTTCCATTTTTTGCTATGCCAAACAGGAAAAAGCATCAGCATAAGAATACCTGGGTAAGGAAATCGAAACCAGGGTGCCTTGCTTATGACATCACCTTTGCTGTCTGTCCGCGCTAAATAACCATAAGTCCTTGCATCTGAAGGGAGAACGTTGGTGATGGTCAGTACAAAACATAATAGCCACGTAATTGTGAGAGCAAACAGCACCTAGGTAGTTACAGATGACAAGAAATCTTTGTTAGTACAAAACATAATAGCCATGTAATGGTGAGACCATCCTTCAGGACGGATAATCATAATCATTTTATCTTGCCCTTTTTTAAGTTTAGTCAGTTCAAGGCAGAAAACTTATATCCTACTTCCTATTTTCTCCACAACAAAGTAGAGGTGGGTTAAACCGAAATAGATTGGCCCACAATCCCCCAGTCAGCTTTCATGCCTAAAGGACACCTTGAATCCAGAGTTTCCTGGTTTCTAGGCCAGCACTTTCACCATTACGACACACTGGCTCAGTATAATATTGGTTGGGCTCACACACTGCACAAACCCAGATTTGATATAATGTATTTATCTGCAGATTAGTGAGTTTGTGTCAGCAGCCTAACTTTATACTTATTCTGGCACTCTGGCTTTATGTTTATATTCTGTACTGTACATAATTATATGTTCTTGTACTTCAGATCCAACATAGCAGAGTTCCTCAACCTTTCTGTCTTTGTGGTCCGACTGGGGGATGGGGAGGGAATGGGTCTGCACGAGTGGCAGGCATGCATGCACGCCCATCTCCATTTGCAAGAGCAGTGATCACTCATGTATGCACAAATGAAACAGGCGCACACATGCTCGTCCGCTGCTCACACAAGTGGGGATGTGCGTGATCATGCATGCTCGCCCACAACACCCATAAGGTTCTATTCTAAATAGATGTTGCAATAAAAAATGACAAATATAGAGAACCTTCAGAATTGAGTTATTGATTTTTAAATTATCTGATTTGTCTGTCTCTCATATAGTCTCATTTCAAATTAACCAAAACATTATTTATTTATTTAACACATTTATTATAGCCGCCCAACACACAAACAGGTGACTCCAAGCAGTTTATTACATTAAAACTTCTCCTTCAGCCCAGTTGTTCAGCCTACCCCTAGTCATAAAAGTGTCCAGGATCTGCTACCCTCCAAATATCAAATACATATTCAGTAGCCAACAGGACCAAAAGATGAAAGCAGTTTTGAGAGGAGTGTTCCACTACAGCTGAGTACACTAGCCCAGTTTATACGAAACAGCACAGACTGAAAACAGAGCTGTTTGTGCCCTACAAACATATTCTTGCTGCCATTCCTCCTAGTTCTGTCTCATTCTATCTAATGGAAGAGCCAGTCTTGCTACTAATATGCAACAAAACCACTGGAACACTTCAGTTACTAAAAATGGGAGAAACATCTGAGAAGGTCTGACTTAAAATTTGTAGTTCCTACACTTCAAATGTTAAGGCTCAGAGCAAACCATAGCTCCATCCAAACAAAATAAAATCATTCACTCACCTAAGACCTGGCAAGTGAGTACAGCATGAAGCATTTCATTCTCTCTCTCTCTCTTACTCTTCCCCCACACCTCCCCACCTATGTAGTACTCCACCTCAATTACTGATGTGACCTTAGGTGACTGAATTTGTGAACCAGAAACTTATCTAGCTCATTATATTATTTCCAGCAGAAAGTAGTGATACTTTCTGGAGGTTTCTTTTAAATAATTCTGCTTTTTGTGTGTATGTATTTGATTATTCAAATATCATTAGAGTTTACTCACTGGAAAGATCTGGAAGAGATAGATCTGGGAGAAATGGCATTTTTTGCTTTTTTGGTAAGATGGTAGTGGAACTGGCACATTTTTCAGGTACTGAGAGAATAAAACTATGAAGAAAATAGTTCTAAAGTGATAAAAAAAGAAAAAGGTTTTCATTTATGACAGTCTGATTCAGAAATTAATGTAACAGTTTACAGTTACTAATTTCAATACTGATGTTTGCAAATATTAATGCATCAAATAGTTAAAAAACAGAGTACTATACAATGGACATTTTTTATTTAATTCATGTTTCTCATAATGCACACAATATGTTGGAATGTAGTCCAGAGTCCCAGGAGGAGGGTTCTTTCCCAGGGATCAAAGAGACAACATAGGTTGGAGTTGTTGGTATGCAGGAAAAGGACAAAAGCATCCTCCCATCCCCAGCAGTTCACAGGGTATATCTAATAGTTATTGTACATTAAGTGCTTTAGACCAGGGCTTTTCAACCAGTGGTACAGGTACCACCTGTGGTACATTGGCACCTGGCAGGTGGTATGTGACCATCCTAGGAAAGTAGTAGTGGGGGAGGGGAATGAGCTGAACCAATGGCAGCACCGCACAAGCCTGAGCGAGAGATGGCTGGAGCTGCGGGGCTGTCAGGGCTCAGCAGAAGCGCCAGGATCAGTGCCGCTTTCCAGCTGATCGGTGCTTCTTCAGGGCTGTCAGAGCTCAGTGGAAGCGCCAGGATCAGCACCAGGCTCCAGCTGGAAAGCAACACTGATCCTGGCACTTCTGCTGAGCCCAGAAGAAGCGCCAATCAGCTGGAATGTTGCAGCATCTCCAGGGTCTTGTGATTTTCATTCAGATGCTTGGCAACTGATTCATATTTATGACAGTCAAAGTGTCCCAGGGTCATGTGAAGTGATCAAAACCTGCTGCAACCACCCAGCAGATGGGGGGGAATAAAAAACAAACACCCCCCACCCCACCCCCGCTGCCAATCCTCAACAGAAATTCTCACAACAATGAAAACCTTGGACAGGAGGAAGAGCGCCGCTGGGTGGGCAGGCAGGTGTCTTGCTTGGCTGCGGCTTGAGGGGCACTTTTTTCAGTGCCATTGTAACTTCGAACAGTCACTAAGTGAACTGTTGTAAGTCGAAGACTATCTGTACTTTATTACTTTTTTCCTTTTTTTGGTCATCAAGTTTTTGTCACCTTGCTAGGCAACTGGTGGTACTCGGATATTGCCATATTCTAAAAGTGGTACAATGGGTGAAAAGGTTGAAAAGCCCTGCTTTAGACCGGCAAGATTCCTGTTTATAGGAGAGCAACAAAAAAGAAACCACTCTGAAGCAACTCCTCCTGTCAGTCTTGGTTCCTTGGGACTGACATTGATCTTGCAGACTAAAGCATTTATCTGCAATAACTATCTGCACTGGAGACCAATTCCTTGTGTGTCTAATCACACTTGGCCAAATAAAGTATTCTATATACCCTGTGAACTGCCCGGGGATGGGGGTGTCACCTTCACCCTTTTCCTGTATATCAAAGATTGCAAGCTATTGTCTCCTTGCTTCCTGGGAAAGAGCCCCTACCTCCTTGTGATTCTGCACTACATTCTACCTCACATTTATTTAACACATTGCATGTGTGAACATATAGGAGCTAAGAAATTTCTTTTTTAATTAATCCATACAAGAAAAATAAAAAGCATTATATTCCCAGTTTACATCATTTTGGTCACTGAAGGAACACAAAACTTACATGGCCGCTATCCCCCAGTGTTCTCCAGCATCTTTCCCTGCTGAGCTGAAGAGAGGCAGCGCCACCAAGGTTATGGTTGGAGCAATAGTCAGAGGGCCAATGAATCGCATCAGGAATCCAATGAGACCCGAAAAGCCAACAAAAATTTGGAAGCAAGAAGCTACCATAATCGCTCCCTGCAACTGAAACAACAAAGGCTGTAAATGCATTTTATTCTAATGGAAATCCTTGCATTTAAGCTGCAAGTGGTGATGTATAATTGGCAGTGGTTGGTAGTTGATCAGGAGAGGGTTAATGGAATTGGATGTCATCTTAGTAATCCTAACAAAGTTGCCATGCACTTTATATTTAGTAGAAAAACTAATTAATTGCTTTTATTAATTTGCCTTCTGAATAGTTAACAAATACTAAAAGGAAATATCTTTTTGATAATGTTTCTGATTTGGGAGAAATTAAAGATAGGAAGCACAAAGTGGAAGCAATGAGTTTGGTATTCCTTTGTTCATGATTCAAATGTATTTCTGGGGTACCATAAAAGGTCCTCTTAAATATAAGAGAAGAGCAACCACCATGTCACTTTTATCTGACAGGCTGCTGTTCTGGAGGACATTAAGCTACCATTCTCAACAGTATTTAGGAAACGGTAGCAGTTAAATCATCTTGAAAGAAAGTAAAATCATCTCTCCCTATAGCTGATCAAAAACTATTTGAAAGGCAAAGTGACATCATTCTCCTACTGTCGTGTCTTTTGAAGAAAGAGAAGTTACACAGATTTGTTAGGTGCACCACAAAACCAAAGCATTTCCACAAAATAATAATTTTATACAAACATTATCAGTGGATTACCTCTCTCATTCGAACCTGCCATAACTCGATGAAATTTGGGGAAGTGGGATCCACCATGCTGGCATTATTGGTCCAAGCAGGGCACTTCCAGGAGGGCAAACTGAGCATGGCCAATGAAGGAGTTAAAAATGCAAAGGTTCCTCCTTGTAGAATAGGTAGCCTGTAATGAGGAGGGAGATGGAAATGGAGCAATACATACAAAATACACCATCTACTTTTATGTACACTAGATGGCACTGCAGTTTACTCACACAATTTAGTATGAGTCTATTTTCCAAAGGCTTGCTAGAACAACCAGGTTTTGACAGTTTTCTGGAAAATCATAAGGAAATAGGTTACCCTAATCTCTGACAGCAAACTGTTCTGAGAACTATTCTGTTCCCCCTTCCATCAAAAAACTCAATAGGTGTTCAATCAGCACTCTGCATGCAGTGGGGGTTATAATCAATTTAGATACAAAAAAAGAGAAATATGAAGATACCAGGCTCCAAGGCATGTAAGGATTTATACATTAAAAATCAGGATCTTGAAATGCACTTGGAAACAGATAAGTTGCCAATGCTATGTGACATTGGTGTTATGTGACAAATACTGTCTCTCTCCCTTTACTGGTTTATAGTTTATTAGTTTGTTACTTCAACTTTATACACCACTCCATTTCATAAACTTCCGAGGAGCACCCATTTATGGCTCACCATTGCATTCCATATTCACTGAAGTTTCCAAATGCTCTTTAAGGATAGCCCCTTATAGAACATGTCTCAGTAGTTCAAATGAGAGGCCACGAGTGCATAAGTGATGTGAGAGGGCTCCTCAGTGTAGGAATGGGTGCAACTGAAGCACAACAGGAAGCTCTGCAAAAGTCCTCCTAGCTATGACTGCAACTTGCTTTTTGAGCAGGAACTCTGAGCCCAAGGAAAACCCCAGATTGTGCACCAATTCTGTTTGAAGCAATGCCACCCCATTCAGAACCAAAGAGGGAAGGTCATCAACAATGAGTGGAACCAAGATGATCCTGGAGGAAGGAGAGCTAGCACAACACCTGTCACCCATTCCCAACTGATTCACAAGAATATTGTGAACAATGGTATCAAAGGCCACCAACAATGGTATCAAAGGTCAAGAAGAGCAAGAATGGACACACCACCTCATCCTGCTCCTGTCAGAAATCATCCAAGATTAAAATCAATGCTGTCTCCATCCCATATCCAGGCTTGAAACCTGACTGAAAGGGGTCTAGGTAATTCACTTTTTCCAGGTTTCTCCTAAGCTGCATCTTGTCTAGAACCATGCCCCAAAAAGGTAGGTTGAAAACTGGATGGAAATTGTCCAGAATGTCAGCTCCAGCAATGCCCTCTTGTGGAGGGATGCACCAGACTGGATCCTTAAATGTTGTCAACATCCAAGATAGAGGATATTTTCTACTTAAAGAACCTCTAGCACAAATATATAGCTAGGGCAACTTTGGTCATCACCAAAGTCAAAATACTATAGGAAGTGTCAAAATATCTATGCAAATATGGGGAGCAACAGAAAAATAATCAATAAAGGGTTAAAGATAGTAAGTAAAGATAAAATTAATCTATGCCAGAAATCTGAAGAAAAACAGAGTGGCCAACAGATCGGAAGAGATCAGTTTATACGCTAATACCAAAAAAACCCAAACACTTAACAGTGTGAACTATTGTTATAATATCCTTAATTGCAGAAAATAATGCTTTAGAAAATAATGCTTAGGATCATCCAATGCAAATTCTACATGGAAAGGGAGATGCCAGATGTTCAAGCAAGCTTTTAAAAAAGAATGATAGAATCATAGGGCTAGAAGGGACTTTGGAGGTGTTCCAAGGCAGGAGTCCTTATTCCATCTAGGACAAATGGTTGTCCAATCTTTTCTTGAAAACCTCCAGTGAGGGAGCAGTCACAACTCCAGGAGCAAGCTGTTCCATTGACTAATTGTTCTAACTATCAGGAAAATTCTCCTTAGCTCCAGAATGAATCTCTCTCTGATGAGATTCACCCATTGTTTCTTGTCCTGCCTTCAGAAACTTTGGAGAATAAATCGACCCTATCTTCCCTGTGACTTGGAGTATTCTTCAAGTATTAGAAGATGGCTAGCCTGTCACCCTAAGCCTTCTCTTAGGGATGGCTAAATTTAGCTAGTCCCCTGAGCCATTTATCATAGTTTAGCCTCCAGACTCCTTATCATCTTCCCTGAAAAAAATGGATCTCAGGATTTATTTTTTTATCATGGTAACCAGAACTGGATGCAGTGTTCCAAGTGTGGGCTTATTAGTGCAGTATACCAGTACTACCACTTCTCATGATCTTGACGCTATTTCCCCTATTGCTGCAGCCTAGGATTGCATTACCTTTTTTGGCAGCTACAACACTGCTAGCTCGTACTTAAGTGGTGATCCACTTGGACATCTAGATCTCTCTCACAAACTAGATGAGAGGATTGTTAAACCAGGTATTCCGAATTCTGTACCTGTGCATGTGGTTTTTCATGCCTACATGCAGGACCTTACTTTTCTCACTATTGAACTACATTTTGTTGGATAGGGCTAAATATTCAAGTCTGTCAAGATCCTTCTGAATGTAGACTCTATCTTTCAAAATTTAGCAATTCTGCCCAGCTTAGTGTCATCCACAAATTGGATGGGCACCTTTTCAATCCCCTCATCTAGATTATTTATGAAGATGTTGAAAAGTATTAGGCCCAAGACAGAACCTTGAGGTATCCCACTGCGTGATTCCTTCCATATAGATGTAGTTCCATTGAGGACCACTTACTGAGTGTGGTTGTCATGGAGAAAATCTATCTCCAACTAATCCTCATTAAATTGAGGGTGATTTAGTGATTATTTGAAGTAACAACAGACCCTCCAAAAAGGTACTTATGATCCAGTTTTGAAGTTACAATGATTTCTCACACACACACACCTGCAGTCATATATTGTATTTTAGGTGCTTAGCAATTGGCTTGCACTTACGGTCATTTGCACCGTCCTGCAGTCATGTGGCCAGATTTCCAGCATGTACCTCTGGTTAACGGCAAAAGTGTCCATTATATTTAATGGATTTGGTTAATGACCGTGGGATTTGCTTAATGACTAGTGTACAAAAGTTTGTAAACTTGGGTGTGGTCACATGGTGACCCATTTATTCACTGCCACAACTTTCAACCATAATTCTGGGCTCAATTACAGTTAATGGATCAGCCTTCTGCTGTTAGTATTTTTCTCTGAAATAGTTGTTACTAAGGCTAAACATTTACATCACACAAGCATTTACATAAAAAGCCTAAGAAACTTTTAAGGATTTTTCTTTAAAAAGTCTGGCAGATGAAGAGTTAAGCATCCCCTTTCTTTCTGAAGGACAAGATCTGTTTCTTAGGGCAGATTGCAAAAATAGAGCCTTGTAAGACTTGGGATAAATAACAGGATTAAAGTACATTATGTAACTTATTTGAGTCAAACTGAAATCAAATTTGTAAATTAGCTCTACAAAAACTGCTTCTTTTTTCTTCTTTCCTAAAAGTCTTAGTTTTTAAAAAATGTTCTGCAGAAATAAGGACAACATTGGAAAGTGGAGGTGTATTCAAGTAATCTCTGTTCTTTATGCTCTTGGAGACACATTGTGCTTTCATATAGTGACAAGAAGAGACCACGGATCTCTCACAGAGATATATGTAGATGCTATGTAATTAAACTGGAATGTTGTCATGAACATGTCCAGCAGTCCCATACTGAATGGGTTTACAAAACGCAGTGATCTGGAGTGTGTAATGCAGTTCCATAGAACCTGCCAAGTACTTGGGATGTTGCAAAGAAACTGCAGCAAAGGCATACAAGGGCCCCTAACCCCTACATACAAGGAAAAGCTTTTTCCATACCAGATTCATATACTAAGAAAAAGTGCATACCCAAGCAGATTCTTCTAAATGCTCCTTTATCCCACATTGTATTCTTGTACTCATTTTTTTTACTTCTCCAGCAATGTGATGCTTGAATACATAAGTTCTCTTAACTATGTTGATTACTTCTCCTTCATAGTTTGAGAATTTAAAGGGCTGGCTAATATAAAACTTTGAACATTTTTTTATTTAATAAGCCAGGATTTAGTCATTCTGTTTTAAGAAATGCATTGAATCATAGGCATTTATTAGAATCTTATAACTCACTGAAAACTAACCAAGTAAGTACTAGGTACATCAGATTATATCTAGGGTATTCATTAACATGTCTTGGGTGTGGAGGAAGTAAGATTCTTGAAAATATTACCATTTTCATCTGCTCTCTTTCACTTCACAGTACGTTGTTGCTATTTTCTCAGGAGATTGAGAGCAAAATAGTCTTAGCATAATGGAATTCCTCAATCTTTATAAGTTTATGTCACAGCTTCATAATTTGCTGTAGACAGCTGAAACTGCATTTCACAGTAAAAGCCACAGCTTGGACTTTCACTGATATTAAAAAGAATTCCAATAAGTATTTTACTGATTACCAACCAAAATGAAGGGACTTATACTTTACAACGGAACTTTGAAAGAAATATTAGCTCATCCAACAGGATTGCTTTTTGCATACTTGATTCCCACTTCCAAGCTTCCTACTTGGACTTCCAGTTTTCCAATGTGTGGGTCACTTGTTTGACCAACACATTAAAGAAAATGCATTTAAAAGTGCAAACATCACCAAGTAAAAAACCTGTATTTACAACAGCAATAATTATGCCTAGAGACAAAATCTCTCATTTTACTTCACTTTACTTCACTGTGCTTTAAGTGAAGCAGAAGAATAACTTTCATATCTGGTTTGTGACTACTGTTCCGAGTCAGACCATGATGATCTGGGATAGGCCCATGGACATTACAGTGGTGGACTGCTTCTGAGGCCAAAGGGATGATAAGTGGAAGTCCTTCAGAACCATTAAGTTGGGGAACTCCACTGCCAATCCTGAGACAGTCTCCAGGAGCCCAGGAAGAGAGGTTGCCATGCAGCAGGGAGACTAGTACACTAGCAACAATCCCAACTGATCCCATAAGCCCAGCTTCAGAAATTGGGTCTCAATATTTTTTCTCTTGTATTTTTGCTCAAATGCATAGACCCTGAAGGGTTAATTTCTTTGAGATGGAGCCTGAAGGAAATGGCAATA